TCTGCTTTTGGAGTTGGAAAACGGTGTTGCCGCGATATCTCAAGAACTAATCTCTGGATTGTCTTCATATTTGGATCTATGGTGTATATACTGACTCCGCAGACACTAGTCGGTTTTGGTGACCTTGACCCCATTTTCAAGGTCACAGCAGGCAAATCTGCTTTTGGAGTTGGAAAACGGTGTTGCCGCGATATCTCAAGAACTAAACACTGGATTGTCTTCATATTTGGAACTATGGTGTATATACAGACTCCGCAGACACTAGTCGGTTTTGGTGACCTTGACCCCATTTTCAAGGTCACAGCAGGCAAATCTGCTTTTGGAGTTGGAAAACGGTGTTGCCGCGATATCTCAAGAACTAAACACCCCCGCCCAACATCCATTCGTCCATCATGTTTTGTTACCGGAGCATAACTCAGAAACCGTTTAATATTTTTTCATGAAACTTTGCAGGTCTGTCAAGTTCATGCTGAACTGGTGCCTTTTGCTAATTAGAAATTTTAGAAATTAGAAGATGGACTTAGGTTCCAAACTCTTCTTTTTTTTTACAATTTCCATGACAAGTTCCACCTCGGTTAAAAAAGGTTAGGGTTTGTTTAGAATTAATCATGTCATAAATTCTGCAACAGGGGCAGGGGATATAGCAAGGTTAGTGGCAAACTCTTGTTTTGTACTTGACCTGCAATATTTTTATATGCCCTTTTACATTTTATAAATCTTTATGTTCTCAGTTATTATTGCATTTTCTTTCTGTAATTAAAGTTTATGAAATAAAATTAATTTTACATATAGCAACTGTATTGTGCTGGCTGAAGTTTAAAACATAATTTATTCATTTTCACAGCATTTCACGTGTTTCCTACTCTTCCTGGAAATTTTTTATGTTTCCTTTCTGAAGTTATTTTTAACTGTTCCTTTCTGAAGTTATATTTAACTGTTCCTTTCTGAAGTTATATTTAACTGTTCCTTTCTGAAGTTATATTTAACTGTTCCTTTCTGAAGTTATTTTTAACTGTTCCTTTCTGAAGTTATATTTAACTGTTCCTTTCTGAAGTTATTTTTAACTGATAGTTGATGATGTTTATGACAGACATTACAATCTTACTGTTTTGGAGAAAAACTCCTTTTTTAAAGTGTTTGATAGTCAAATCATGTTTTTTCTCATCAAACACAATTGTCCTCGATTGAAAACCCATACATCAACCGTTATCCTCACAGCATTCACTTTCACTTTGAGCATGTAACACCGGAAACAAATCCGTACTGAAGTACACCATTTAATCTTGTAATTACACTGTCTGGTTATTGTATATTATTATATTGTGTGCATTGTATATGTGGGCTTATGTTTGTAATCTATTTCATTAATTTTATTAAAAATTTCATTCAATGTTGTTGACATCAATTTGTACGAAATCGTGTAAAGTGATCAGAAGATTGCACAACTCACCGTTATTTACAGCAACCACGGTCAGATTACAGCTATTGACACCTTGAAACAAATTTTAATTGACAGTGAATTGATACATATATCGTAAGTGCCATACTTTGACTTGTTAAAAGTCACATTTGTTGTAGTTTGACTATCATTATATTATCAACATAAAGTTTTTGCAATCGCGAGTGCTCTGACAGTGACTGGTTAAATTGTTCGTTACGTAAAAATATCCAGCAAAAGCAATGAGCTGCAACTAAAATAACACAATATTGGAAAATCTTATACCTGATAAAATAAAACTTTCAGATACAATTCCTACAATCTTGCATCCAAATTCTTTGAAGTTACCATGGTTACCGGTATATTATTTGGTGATTTTTTACCGATAGATTGAACATGTTGAAAGTAGAGGTGTAACGATACAGGAGGGTCGCGATACGATACGTATCACGATACAGTGTTTACTGGTACAAGCTAAGCCAAGTTGATGTCTTTCTGCTCTCTAAAAGATGTGACAAGTACAGTTGAAGAAGATATAAGGTGTTTATTTACTGTTATAGCAAATTGTCAGCAATACAGTATGTTTTACTGAAACAACAAACTGTCTTTGAAACTGTTAAACGTATTTCATGTTTAAAAGTACCCCCCCTAGCAGGTTCAATATTTTGGGAAAAAAGAAATTTGAATATTATGCGCAGAAAAAAATTACACAGTACCCCTTCAGCGAAGTCCGGCAAACGAACAGGTGATGAGAAACTTTGTCAGTACAAATTTGAAATTTGAGATAAAAAATCACCAGACATGTTGATTTACCGTTTAAATTGTATTTTTTGTTCAGCTAGGCATTGTTTTATATCCAGGGATTAAGATTACCTTGTGTATTTTCTTATAAACTAAGCCGGACACAGCAATCAGCTGTACACACGTTTTCTTGGAATCTTCCGGTGATTCGGTCAAGATACACCCAATGATATAACTTTACAGGATTTTAATGCAAGGATCGGCAAAAGTTGTATCTGAAACTATTTTTTTATCAGGAATAATTTATTCCAACATTGTCCAATATCTTGTTAATTTAGATGCAGCTCTTACTAAACATATTTAAAATAATAATAACCCTAAGCGAAGCAGCTGATTGCTATTGCCGGGTATTATTTTTTACATGGAACCAGTCTGACCAGTCCTTGTCAAGGCTCCCGTGCACGTGATCGCGAGAATTACGTGTTGACATAGAATCGTCCAACAACAAAAAATGGAATCAAAGTATGGCATTTATGATATATGTATCCATTCTCTGTCAACAAAAGTTTGTTTCAAGGCGTCAATAGCGGTAATCTGACCGTGGTTGCTGTTAATAAAGGTGAGTTGTGCGATCTTCTGATCGCTTCACACACAATTTCGCCGAAATTAATTAAAACAATATTAAAAGGAATTTTGAATAAAATTAATAAATTAAGTTACAAACATAAGCCCGGATATACAAAGAACACTTTTTGTAGCCAGACAGTGTAATTACATGAATAATTTGCGAACTTCAGTATGGATTTGTTGACATGGTATATCCGGTGTTACGTGCTCACGGTAATGTCTTTCCAAGGGGGAAAAAACATCAAAACTCATTAATTCGTGTATAATGCGCACCTCCTTCTACACAGCTATTTTTTGGAAAAAAAGTGTGCACTATACTCAAGAAAATACGGTAAGTAAAACTGTGTTATGAAAATATCGTATGTATCGCGATACATGCTTTCCAAATCGATGCATCGTATCGTGGGCTGTGCATCGGGGTACAATACTGTATCGCCGTATCGTTACACCACCAGTTGAAAGAAAACATGTTTACAGATGATTGCTGTTTCCGGCTTAGTTTACGAAAAAGTAAACAAGTTATCTTAATCTCTGCATGTAAAACAATGCCTAGCAGAACAGGAAATACAATTTAAACGGTCAATCAACATGTCAAATTTTAAATTTGTACTGAGTTTGTTACCAACCGTTCGTTTGCCTGAATTTTTGCTGAAGGGATATGATGGAATTTTTTTCTGCATATGATACTGTTTATTTCTTCAACAGACAGTTGTCAAGTGTTCTTTCTATTTATGATATGAGTGACATATAATTATAATAAGCATGATAAGAGATGAATTGATACGTGAGGTGAAATGGGGTTTTAAGTTGCGTCCAAGATTATTGCACTTATATAGCGACGTGTGTGTTTGTGTGGCTGCTTGTACTAGTCCAGACTGATGCCGATTTATAGTGCTAGCTCACTGAGATACCATGCCGCAGTTTAACATGAATACCCCACTCAGACACAGTATACTGACTCCGAGCCGACCAGTCCTTGTTTTAGCCCCTAATGCCGAGCGCCAGACAGGGTAACAACAAGTACATCTTTTAACGTCTTTTGGTATGACGCAGCCGGGGATCGAACCCCGGACATTCCACTCTCCGGGTGGACGCTCTACCACTAGACCACGGAGGCGGTCCAAATTGATACGATTGAAATAGGTTCTCACCCAATAGGACAAGCGTTTCTTCATTTCTTTCTTGCCCTGCACATGCTGCCACTTGTCAATATGAGTGGAGTGGATTTTTCGACCTCTGTTTTTTTAGGTTTTCTCTAATTTATGTTAGAGACAGAATGTTTTTTGTGACTCACAACAGTTATTTTCAGGCCATTCAATGAACACTTATTATGTTTTCAAAAAATCTTGAGGCAACATCTGTTAAAAGCAAGGTCATGTTCCTGATCCTGCATGTTTAAAGTCAGAAAGAGGCACTCAACATGCTCAAGACCGCCTCCGCTGTCTAGTGGATAGAGCGTCTGCCTGGAGAGCGGAAGGTTGTAGGTTCAATCCCCAGCTGCGACATACCTAAAGACTTCTAAAAAGATGGTACTTGTTGTTACCCTGCCTGGCGCTCTGCGTTAAGGGGCTAATACAAGGTCTGGTTGGCTCAGGGTCAGTATACTGTGTCTGAATGGCATGGTATAATGGGCATGGTATATCAGTGGGCTGGTCATCTTAAGTCTGAACTAGTACAAGCAGATAAACACTTGTAATGACGAAGGCTCAGGTTCGATTCCCCACATGGGTACAATGTGTGAAGCCCATTTCTGGTGTTCCCTGATGTGATATTGCTGGAATATTGCTAGAACAGTGTAAAACCATACTCACTCACTTACTCACTCACTGCTATTCATATCACAACTATTAACTCCAGGATAACTCTTCATGCCGTCTGGTCTAATAGGGTGCAGGGTTAAAACCTTTTTAAAACGTTTTCTGAAAATGCTGGGGAAAAAATTGTTTTGGGTTTTAAAAAAAGAGATAAAAAAACTTGATTTGCTTTGACTACTGGATTTCCTGTAATAAATGTGTTATATGAAAAGAAGTTTTTTGACACCTTCCTCCAGAGAAAATGAATAGACTTGAAGCACTGACTGAAAAAATGTCTTCTTTCTAATAAAATTCCCATCCCTTCAGAAGAATATTAATGGTTGGTCCCTTAGAGTAGTAACTTTAACCAATGTATGGACATTTTTTTTTCATCTCCACAGATGGACACAGTGGATGTTCCGGGAGGTCATCCATCAGAAGATGAGGTAGATGGCGGTAAATTGTGTTCAACAGAAAAGAATTTGCCTTCAGACAATGCTATTGAAAGTCAGGCTGCAGCAGGAACTGAAACTAATGTCATGGATGAAAAATGTGCTCAGAATGTAGTAACTGACCCCGAGGAGCAGAATGACAAGTTGGCACCCAAAACAAATGATGACTCTAATCCCGCTGAAAGATCACAATCAGCATCTGATAGCAGCACTGTTAATGAGGCATATGCAGAAAAGTCGACTTTGGATTATCAAGAAGCACCAGGAGAGCCTGGTCCAAAAGCTGGGGTTGTTTGCCATCCATCAGAAGATGCTGAGTGCCTAACTGAAGCTGGAGGAGTCGCAATTGCTTCCAAAGATGACAAAGATGCCGACAGTGGTCTGGAAAAGGAAAATACTGATGACAACAACCCAGAGGTAATTGCTGGAGTCCTGAATGCTCACAAAGAGGCCAAAGAATCCGACAGTGGTCTGGAAAAGGAAACATCTGAGGACAACAACCCAGAGGTAATTGCTGGAGCCCTGAATGTCCACAAAGAGGCCAAAGAATCTGACAGTGGTCTTGAAAAGGAAAATACTGATGTCAACAACCCAGAGGTAATTGCTGGAATCCTGAATGCCCACAAAGAGGCCAAAGAATCCGACAGTGGTCTGGAAAAGGAAACATCTGAGGACAACAACCCAGAGGTAATTGCTGGAGCCCTGAATGTCCACAAAGAGGCCAAAGAATCTGACAGTGGTCTTGAAAAGGAAAATACTGATGTCAACAACCCAGAGGTAATTGCTGGAGTCCTGAATGCTCACAAAGAGGCCAAAGAATCCGACAGTCCTCTTGAAAAGGACAATTCTGAGGACAACAACCCAGAGGTAATTGCTGGAGTCCTGAATGTCCACAAAGAGGCCAAAGAATCCGACAGTGGTCTGGAAAAGGAAACTTCTGAGGACAACAACCCAGAGGTAATTGCTGGAGTCCTGAATGTCCTCAAAGAGGCCAAAGATGCCAACAGTGGTCTTGAAAAGGATAATTGTGGGGACAACAACCAAGAGGTAATTGCTGGAGTCCTGAATGTCCACAAAGAGGCCAAAGAATCCGACAGTGGTCTTGAAAAGGAAACTTCTGAGGACAACAACCCAGAGGTAATTGCTGGAGTCCTGAATGTCCTCAAAGAGGCCAAAGATGCCAACAGTGGTCTTGAAAAGGATAATTGTGGGGACAACAACCAAGAGGTAATTGCTGGAGTCCTGAATGTCCACAAAGAGGCCAAAGAATCCGACAGTGGTCTGGAAAAGGAAAATTGCGAGGACAACAACTCAGGGGTAATTGCTGGAATGAAAGAAGTCTGCGACTGTGGTACTGATCAGAAATCAAGCATGCAGAAGAAAACTGAAAAGGATGTCATTGAAGAAGACAAACCTTTAAATGATCTATTTGATGCTGGTCCATTAGTAGTTGAAGTGAACCCACTGAATGACATTGGGGAAAGCTTTAAACCTGATGCAGTGAGTAAAACTGCAGTTAATGTTGCAACAACCCCACCACAAGCAGAAACTCTATCTCCCCCTGAATCAACAGATGAGTGTAATCTCATGGAGGGAAGAAGTGATGACAGTAATGATAGAGTAGAGGAATTAAAAGTGGAACATCCATGTGTTTCAGATAGGAGGCCTGAGTCAGTTGAAGTTGTTTCTGAACATTCTGTAAACTCTGTTACCCAAGAAGCATCTGTATGTGCAGTCAGTGTTGCACTTTGTAGAAAGTCACTGTCAACTGCAGATGAAGAACTACGTGAACCATTCCCTCCAGGCAAGCCACCAAATGAATCAAATAAAACACTTGTAGACAATTCATTCAAAGAAACTGTCCAGCAACAAATTGCAAATGTCACATATTTTAAATGTGCTGCATTAGGAAATGTAAACGACAATGTTTCACATAAAGTGTCTGGTAAATACAGCCAAAATCCTGATAATGAGGCAGAGCATGGAAATGACGAGGGTGTTTCAGTTGTTGAAGAAAGAAGTTGTGCTCATATTGATGAAGACAAATCCATTAATGAATCAAATGACAAAATTGAAAAAAGTTCTTTATCTTCCCTTGAAGAGCAGCCAAAGCATGATCAAAATCTGAAAGATGAAAGACCCCTTTCTACCTGTGAGGATCACATTGATGGATCCAACATTGATGATCATCCAACAGATGATGTTCATCAGCCAAGTACAGATGATACAGGTCCTGAGCATGGGGTCCTTACCAAATTGAAGCATCCTGATCCAGAGGAAGCAGCTGGTGAACCAAGTCAAGATGTTTCTTTGTCTCCCCTTGATGAGCAGGCAAAGGGTGATCGAAATGTGATAGAGGAAACGCCCCTTTCTACCTGTGAGGATCACGTTGATGTATCCAGTTCACAAGCAGCTACTGACCATGAAGAATGTGATTCTTCAGGAGAGTTGGTCATTGATGAGGTTGAATGTGAAACAAGTTGTGCTGATATTGATGAAGACAAATCCTCAAATGAATTAGATGGCACGTTTGCAAATAATCCACCTGCAGATGCAGTTCATCAGACCAGTACAGTTGAGACAAGTTCTGATCATGGGGATCTTTCCAAATCAAAGCAACCTGTTCCAAAAGAACCTGTTGATACTGAGGAAAAGCATGAAGGAAGAAAGTCTGGATTGATTGCTGAAGAAACAAGTTGTACTCATATTGATGAAGATAAATCCCCAAATCCATCAAACGACACATTTGCTAATAATCCATCTACAGATGATATCCATCAGTCCAGTACAGATGAGCCAAGTTCTGATCATGGGGTGCTTACGAAACAAAAGCAACCTCTTCCAGAGGAAGCAGCTGGCGAACCAAGTCAAGATGGTTCTTTGTCTTCAATAGCAGAGCAGCTAGAACATGATCAAAGTATACCAGAGGAAACGCCCCTTTCTATCTGTGAGGATCCATCCACTGCCCACACACAACCTGGAAATCATGACTCTTTAAGAGAGTTGGTCACTGATAAGAATGAATCAAGTCAAGATGTTTCTTTGTCTCCCCTTGAAGAGCAGCCAAATCGTGATCGAAATCTGATAGATGAAACGCCCCTTTCTACCTGTGAGGATCATGTTGATGTATCCAGTTCACAAGCAGCTACTGACCATGAAGAATGTGATTCTTCAGGAGAGTTGGTCATTGATGAGGTTGAATGTGAAACAAGTTGTGCTGATATTGATGAAGACAAATCCTCAAATAAATTAGATGACACATTTTCAAATAATCCACCCGCAGATGACATCCATCAGTCAAGTACAGATGAGACAAGTTCTGATCACGGGACTCTTACAAAACAAAAGCTACCTGTTCCAGAGGGAGCAACTGGCAAACCAAGTCAAGATGGTTCTTTGTCTTCCATAGCAGAGCAGCTAGAACATGATCAAAGTATACCAGAGGAAACGCCCCTTTCTATCTGTGAGGATCCATCCACTGCACACACAGACTCTGGAGTTGATGACTCTTTAGGAGAGTTGGTCACTGATAAGCATGAATGTGAAACTGAACACGAGCATACGCAAGGCTTGTCTGGTGCTGGTCAGAAATTGAAGGATCAAAATTCACAGTGTCAAGAATCTGTTGATGCAAAGAGCCATGATTTTCTCACCAATAAGAAAACAGATCTTACTGAAGGTGAGCAGGATGCCAGTGAATTAGCTGTAGGCATGACCAGGAAGACCACAGAAAGCTTGAGTGATGAACAGACCCAGGAAACTGAGCAAGGAGCAAGATCTGAGAAATGTGTAGAGATTGGTAATAACAGCGAAAAAGAGAAGTTAGGTGGTAGTGGAGAGAGAGAAGACACTACAACTCCAGAAGGTGACACTGGTGATGGAACAGATAGAATCAACAGCTGTCCCATTAAAAAAGATTTAGAACAGGCTTGTGAATCTCAACCTTTTGATGTGGATCACATACAGTCTAGTTTTGAAGATAATGTCAGTCAAGACAACAAAATTATGGAACAGCCTGATGAAGATGCTTGTTCTTCACAAGACAAGGTACATGACTCAGAAGAGACTTGTGAAACTCAACCTTTTGATGTGGATCACATACAGTCTAGTTTTGAAGATAATGTCAGTCAAGACAACAAAATTATGGAACAGCCTGATGAAGATGCTTGTTCTTCACAAGACAAGGTACATGACTCAGAAGAGACTTGTGAAACTCAACCTTTTGATGTGGATCACTTTCATTTTGATAAGGAAGGTGACAGTTATCAAGACGTCAGTACAGCTAAGGAAAATCCTGATGAACATCCGTCAAGAGAACAACAATTGGCAGAAAACGAAAAGTTGACAGATGATTCCAGAGAGCAGACAGTTACAGAGGTGGCCCATGATCAGGATAGTGGTCTTAGGGATGGTGTTTTTCACCCAGAGAGTGGTGCAAAAGCAACATTTGCCAAGGAGGATACAGCAAATAATGCTCATGGATTTGTGATGTTAAGCCCATTTACACTCACGCGAGAAGAATTTGATGCTCAAGACAAAAGTCCTGACTTGAAGAAATCAAATGTACAAGCTTCAATTAAATCTGCAAAACAAATGTGTGATGCTGTCCAAACTACTGATGCAGGGAGGGAAGATACCAGTTTTGCAATAGGGGAACATCAATCGTCTGGCAGCAGTGAAGTGGCAGAAGGACAAAGCCAAGAAACCTCATATTTAGAAGCAGGAGACATGAACATGATGAAGAGTCCTGAGAAAGAAACAGATGTTGCTGAAACTGAAGATGATGTATGTCAAGCAGGTGAAGAAGTTCAAACTGGAGGAGATGATGAAAAAACAGCTGATAACAATTCTGAAGACAAACCTCCCCAGCAGGAGTTGAAGTTAAAAAGTCCTGAAAAGGGTCGAATTTCCATTGGCTACTCTAAAAGAAAGGATAAATTCAAATGCTTTCTCTGTGATGAAATAGGTTCTGGTGGTAGCTTTGAAGAACATGTGATGCAACATCTTTTATGGAAGCCATACAAGTGCCTTTACTGTTCACAGTACTTTATTACACGATCTGATATCGGAAAGCATGTGTCAGAGAGTCATAACGGAAAACAGCTTAGATGTGGTTTGAGGGCAATCAAGAAGGCTAAAGAATGTATGCGAGAAGCCCAAAGGAAGGGAACCTGTATGTATTTTGCTGATAAATTGAATGGTATGTACTGGTCCTGTAAAAAAAAGAAAACAGATCACGAAGCAAAGTTGTTGGATGAGAAGGCCGAAGGAACCAGTGGCATGCCAACACAGTGCACTGAGGAATCTGTTCAGGGCACTGAGGAATCTGTTCAGGGTACAAAGCAAGTGCCAGAGCCTGGTTTCGATCAAAGTGATCAGGCTGAAGTCAATCAGATCAGTATGGACAGAGTCCTGGACCAAGGAAATGTTATACAGCCTAGATCTAGTGACTTCAGTACATCATTCAACACGTCGAAAACTGCAATGGTTAATCAAGGAGGAGAATCTAGGAATAGTACGCCTGATGTTATCTTTACAAAGCAGTTGGTGAAACCAAGGGATGGTGATACTGTATTGGCTACAACAAACCTAGGAACAGTCTCAGTCTCAGTCTCAGCATCAGCACCAGCAACAGCAACAGCAACAGTCCCTCAACCAGTTGCGGCAACAATCACAGCACAAGTCCAAGCAGCAATTCCAGCAGCAACCCAAGCAGCAATCCCAGCACAAGCGCTAACAACTGTCCAACCTATAACTAGTCCAGTTCATAACAGCCTTCAAAGTATAATACCAGGAACAATCTCTCCACAGAGTATGAATGTTCAGGTGATTCAGTCAACAGGTTTAACAGTACCTGCGATACCAGTGTTCCTTAATCATATTAGTGGTGGAGTGAAAACCCCTGTAGTGTCAGATGCTTCAATCACAGGATTCACCTCAGTATTAACATCTCCTCCAGCATCAAACTCCGTTGTTCAACAGCTAACACTGTCTCCACCAAAGATTATGCCCAGAAGCCATATAATTTCATCAGACCCAAATAAAATTATTTTGGGGAATCCAGCCACTGTTCCAGTGAATCAAGGTCTGCAATCAAATATGCAGCCCATTCTCATTCCAGTATCATTAAACACGAATGTAAATCAGTTTGGTGTGACCCCAGTCTCTTCCAAAGCTTCATCAAAAGGAGAAAGAGCAGAAAGAGAAATTCAGCCTGTCAAAGATAAAGGAAGCCCTGATGGGAACACCAAATCTAAGGATAAACAGCTGAAATTCCATGATATAACTCAAGCTTTTAGGCCTCCAATTGCTAATATTACAATATTACCGCGACCCCCTACAGCTAAGCAGCATTTGCCTCTTTTGACATCATTTTTTCTTCCATCACAACAATCCTCATCAAGCACTCCTCAGGTCCTGAATTCTACTGCTGCATCTGGGTTTATTCCACAAAATGTATCAATTGTGAATCCCAACTGTCCAGTTCTCGTCATTCAGAAAGCCGGATATGGGCCATTCATGCAGTTGAAGTCATCAAATCAAACAGCACCCGTTGAGTCACAAATTCTCACCCATCCAAAAAGACAGAATCCATCAGAAGTAGAACATGCAGTTTCCTCCAAGAATATCCCGCCAAGTGAAGGGCAGAAACAGACTCTGACTTCTGGCAGCTATGTGTATAAGCCACAGCCTTCTGATCAATCTAAGCGTGTGTGTGTCATGTTTACAGTAGGTCTTGTCAATGGTGTGTTTGTCTGTGCCATGTGTAGGGGAAGATTTAAACATGAAAACAGCTTCCGAGCACATCTGTGGAATCACATTCATGATGCAAACATGCCCTGCCCCCATTGTAAATCATCCAATGTGTCTGGATTGAATATTCTAGCATGTTCAAAAACGGATGGATACATGGAGAAACTTAAGACTGGCTTGGTAGGCAATTCATCTTACCTTGAAATTAAAGGCTACAGAACTGTATCAAACACTGTGGATTCTCAACTTTCAAACACTCAAAATGAGCCAAGTAAGGCTCAGAAGTGCCAAATGGATAAATCAAAACACAGCCAAGGTATAATAGACATTTCTTCAGAGGTTGTTTCCAGGGAGCCTGTACAAAATGCTATTTTTCCTGAAGCAAGACCGAAAGGCTTAGCTCCCATCATCCATGGGGATGAAGCAACTGCTAAAACTGGTGTTGAGTATCATTCTGGTACTTTGGCAACTGGGGTTCCTGACCAATATGTCCGTGGTGTGGCCAGTGGTACTGGGGAGCCTTCATTCAAGGAACAGCAATCCAGCAACAATGATGAGTTGGACAAATCCACAGCAGCACCAGATCTTGAGGGTGACCTGCCCCGTGTCAAGATTACTTCAAGAACTGTGTCCTCAGTCATGTCAGAAGGTGCTGATAATACAGAAGGACACTTGCCTTCAATAACACCCAATCAGGACAGTGACGAAAAAAGTAAGGGTGTTGCTAAACCTGTTTCTTCAGATCGGGGAGATCACACCACGGGGGATGCAAAGGACTCTAAAAAATTGGCGCCAGGATCAGAAAAAGATTTGAACAGAAACGCACCCTCTCCTGTCAAAGTGACAACGACATGGACGTTTTATGTTTGTGGATCACAATGTGGGTATTCTTCCTTATATGCCCAAGAATTTAAGAAACATGTTGCTGAGTGTAACCGATCAGGTTCATTGTTGTGTTCCCATTGTCAGTATTCTAGCGATGGTCCTGAGAGCCTGCTCCGCCACATTGTGAAGCACTATGTGGGCCATGCGCCTGGTATAGCTGTGCACACATGTTCAATCTCAGGCTGCAGGTTCACGACCAACATCTTGCAGGGATATTATCAGCATCTGGCAAGCAATCACACTGAAGTCAAGGAGTATGAGTGCAACTACTGCAAGGATGTATTCTCTGATCTTGTCTCTTTCATGAAACATCTACAAGAAAACGTCCTTCATGTTGTGAGTTGCAGATATTGCAGTGCTAGAGATTGTGCAAAGACAGTGCTAGTCAAACATATCATGGAGGCTCATCCAGGAAAAAGCAGAATGACAAATATGTTGAAACAGTTAGTGTGCAAGGACAGAAAAGACAATCATGCCCTGTCATTGCTTTCACCCAAGTCTTCATCTGCATCAAAACCAGCTATTGGTGCTTCTACAGCTCCTGCCACTGAAGCTCTTCCATCAGTTTTGGGAGACGGTGGCAGGGTGGATCAGAACATTGTCCTTGAGATTGACAGAGCTGCTTCACCTGCATTAGCTGAAAATACTGATGCACACCTCTCCTGTAATGAAACAGGCGATGAGACCAGTTTGGGTGGCTCTGTCAAAGATGCTTCCCTTGATCCTGTTTTTAGGTGTTCGGTGTGCACATATATTGGGGTAGATAGACATGATTTGAACACTCACATTGCTAAGCACGATGATAAAACAAGCAAAACGGCCACAGCATTTTCATGCACAGAGTGCCCTGATGGATTCAACTTTCTGGCAAATTTTGAGATACATTTAAGAAGACACAGCAAACTACTGACCTACAATCTCTATGTTTGCTCAGTGTGCAAATATGAAGTGGGCAGCAATGATGTAATGTTGAATCATATGGCCCAGATTCACAAGCTGACTGGTAAAGGGCAGACGCAATTTAGTCGTAAACTCAAGGTGTCCAAGACAGATGTATTGAACTGTTCCCAATGCCCTTTTCAATGTTTGGACCAAAATGTGCTTGATGTACACAGGCAGAAGCGCCATCTGTCAAGTACCAACAAGACGCCAAAACAGATGTCAAAGGATGCTTCACTTTCAAACACTTCATCGAATGAAGATCAAGTTTCAGCCAATAACAAAAGTGCTGAGAAAGGTGAAAAGCCCATTGACAGTCACAGCAGAGAAAAAGGTAAAGGTAAACTGAAGATGACGATTCCTCACAACAGTGTCTTCATCAGCCCTGTCAGATGCATTAGCTGCAAGTTTTCCTCGGTGTACAAAGCCAATATTCAACGCCATATGGATAAACACCATCCTGAAATAGAGCTTGTAGTCGAGAGTGGGAAAATAGGAAGTCCACTGAAAAAAGTCGTGACAGATGAAGCTCCAGTGAAATTGGAACCGAATGATATGAGACTCCAAATTGGCAGCACCCTATTGGACACGGAACTTCAGTGGTTATACGAGGGTCATGGATCATCCTATCGCTGTATGATTTGCTCAAAGTCTTTGTACAAGAGAAACTACCTCCATGGCCACATCCTCGACCATTTAGACATTTCTTTGTGGAAATGTAAGGAGTGTGATTTCAAGAGCTCCCGAAGGAACATTGTGAAAGATCACATGAAGGATATCCATGAAAAGAAATGTCACACAGAAGAGGTAGTTCCAGTTGTGGATGAAATAAGGCCAAAGATTTTCAAGGTTCTTGGGAAGCTGATCCAGGACGACAAGCTTGTCACTGATGTCAAGCCATCTCTGGGTACTAAGGAATTAGATGAGAAGCTGAAGTACATGTATAAAGTGATTGGAAAGCAGAAGATCTGCAAACGATGTGAAACAGAACACCAGTCGCTTTATTCTATGCATAGCCACATCATGAGGAGGCATTTTGGTCTGCATCTTTTCAAATGCTGTTATTGTGACTTTTCTGGACTTGAAAGATATGTTGTGGCAAAACACTCCAAAGAAAAACATCCTGATGAAGAATTATCAGTTCGATATCATCCCAACAACATTAAAGATATGGTATCAGATGAGGATAAAAAGAGAACTGAAAGATCTCATCAGAGTACCACTAAGTCTTCAAGCTCTGATCACTCCTCATCCCATGAGAGACGAACAGAGTTGAGAGTTGGGAGTGACATGTTGGATCAGAAACTACAGCCAATGTATGACGTCAGAATCGGAAAAATAAGAAAACTGATTTGCAGGAGCTGCCAGGCTGATTACCCAAGCAAGTACTCCCTACATTGTCATCTCCTCAAGCATTTGAAGATCAATCTTGTAGCCTGCCCACACTGTGATTTTGAACTTCTGGAACAAAGCAAGATGGGTGATCACATCAAAGTAGTGCACCCGAGAAGTCATATCTACTTCAAGTTCCTTGATGTGGACATTGGGTCGGCAGTTAAGGACTATCTGGAGAAAAAGGATGCTCAGCCTAAAACAGACAGAAAAAAACCACCAAAAGCTGCAAAACCTAAGTTGTCTGACCTCCTTGCAAAACGAAAGCCTGCCAGTCCGATCAAGCATGCAAGAAGTCCTGAGAAAGTTTCTAAGAATGTGATGTCAGTTACTGCAGGGGGGTTGAAAAGGTTCAAGTGTCGGTTGTGTGATTACATGGCCTTGACAAAGCACAGTGTTGGCACTCATGTTTTCAAAGTTCATAAAAACTCCGGAACAAAAACAACGACAATCACAGATGCTTCAAGGTCATTAGTTCCTGATTATTTCCTATGTAAGTTTTGTAAATTCAAGACACATCTTTTGGAATTATTGAAGTCTCATTACACTCGTAAACATCCGCTTGAAACCATGGATGAACCTGTGGCAGTCCCGGAGAATACGATTGAGAGTGGAGATGAAGGTGGAGATGGTTATGATGATGATGATGATGATTTCACGCCTGATAGTTTACAACATTTCTCATCTCTATTTGCGGAGAAGGAAACTTGTCAAAATGAGGAAGGTAACAAGAATTCAGAAAATGCTCATCCTGAAACTCCAAAGGAAGAAGACAAACAAAAGAGGGAGTCCCCTGTAACATTTGAAGAGGCAAGAGTTGTTCTCGAAAAGATTGATGCTGGAGACAAAGCTGTGAGTGATATTTCCGAGAGAGTAAAGTTAAAAAAGCGGAAAGAGAAATGTTATGAGGAAGATGCAGAAGGGCAGCCAGCTAAGAAAATGAAGGCACAAGATACAGAACACAGCCAAGTGTCATACAAGTGTCCTAAGTGTAGCTATGTGGATAGCAGTAAGACCAAGGGAGTGCTACATCTGAAGAAGATACATAATGTGAATAAACTAATGCAGTGTGCTTATTGTACAGCTTCTTACATAACAGAAGACACACTGAAAAACCACATTCGGTTCCTCCACAAAGGCAAGGAGATCTTGCACCAAGAAATACCTCTGGAAAGTATGCTTGCAGAAGTAACAAGTTCCCACCCTTCTCCTGAGGTCTCCCCTGGTGTTGGTGAGAGTCCGCCATCAGGGAAGTCTGCGGATGCTGCTCAGAATAAGCCTGCACTTCCAGGTGGGTCTTCTGGTTCTGATAAAGCTCCAAAGCCAACAAAATCATCAAAATCGCTAAAAGACCAGCTTTCTCCAGAATCAAAGGAATCTAAGAAAATTGATAATAGTGCTGAAGCATCAAATATCTCTTCAAAGGACTCTTCAAAAGACGTATCTAAAGACTCTAAACATGCCCCCAAAGTCGATCATGAACCAGAACCACAGAGGTCCAAGTATGCGTCATTTGTGCCAAGCAGCCCAGATAATAGCGATCATGAAGAGAGAGTCTATTACAAATATGTGTGTGTTTACTGTGACGTCAACATCAATAGTAAAACTGAAATAAAGACACATCTTGCAAAACATTGTCTGGAGAGACTTCATGGGAATAAAATTCCAGAATCAGAAGAGGCCAGATTAAAAATCAAGAAGAAAGTGCGAGACATTATTCCCATTTGTGTTGAGCGTGCCAACAATAAAAAGGTCAAGGTCACCTCACAGCCTGAAACAATCGAACCAGAAGCTTCTCGTGCAGCATCTGAGGCCGAAACTGAGAGACAATCAACAGAACCATTAAAAAATGATGTTGAGTTTGAAAACAAGGTGGTAAAACACAAAAAACACGTTCAGTCAGAGTCAGATTCCGATTCTGAGTTTTTGACAAGACCTGTTAAAAAATGCAGACGAAGGATAAGGGCTGTGATTTCATCATCAGATGAAGATGAACCCATCGTAGCACGGAAAGAAGAGCGAGTGAAAAGAACCTGTAAGTATTCATGTCCATTTTGGTTGCTATGTAGCTAAGTTAGGATGTCAGTAGGGATTCAAGGGCAGGATGGGTTAGTTGTAGGGGTCACGATACGCTCCCAGAATATGCAGAACTACCCATAAGTATCATGACATGAGGTTTGTGCAATATTTTTGTGAACGTCTGAGGAAATATTTAAAAAAAAACACCATAATCGCCTAGCTCAAATACAACTTTAGCAAGACTTATGGGTCATTGCGACTAATTTAACGCGAAAATAAAATAACACGATGCACGGCATTGCTTTCTATCGGTCCGTCGTTTCTGTACATAGCATGGGTATATATTGAAATTCATAGTACATATGATAATTTTTGCACATTTTTCTCCCAATTTGACCATTTATTATTTTTCTTATGACATTTTTTTCATGTCATTCGATAACTAGTATAATGATCAATAACTGTACTTAATTTTGTTTTATTATTTTCACAAATAACGCTTGTAGAGACATTTTTGTGCAACATGCAGAAATCCATGGTCCACTGACAGGCCATTACGCATATGAGTGACCCCCTCTCAGGTGGTCACTTGTACGCAAGACGGGAGAGCCGTCTTGCGTACACGTTACGTCCTCTACTGATGATAAGCATGTTGAGATCGAATTTGGGTAACTAGTAACTGTAATCACTAGCCCTGTTCAGTAAGGGTTGTTACCCCCTTAATGAATTATCTCTCCCCCCCCCCCCCCCCTTAATATTCCCATAATTCAACAGTCTTCTCCCTGAAGATAATTGAGTGAGTGAGTTTGGTTTAACGCCGCTTTTAACAGTATTCCAGTTATATCACGGTGTGTCAGCTTAATGTGGGAGGAAAGCCCGAAGTGATGCAGGTCTCAGATGTTTACCACTTCGGTGAAACCCACGAGCAGGGGTATGGTGCTGACACCATATATATGTATGTATATATATACATATATTATTATTATCATCTGATCGTGATTGTGCCATCAGATTTTGAAATTTTGTCCGTCGTCTGTCATCAGTCAAAAATAATCTCTCAGAAACCAGTGTGGTTAAAACTTAACATATTTGTTCCTGTCAATGATGTTTCCCAATTTGTTCTAGAGGTTTGAATCTGATTTTCAATATGGCCACCCAGGCAACTTTGTAGCCCTGTTCAGTAAGGGATGTTACCTCCCTTAATGAATTATCCCCCCTTAATACTCCCATAATGCAACAGTCTTCTGGACATGCTGGAGAGCAATCCAACAACTGACCTGGAAACACTTGTATGACTGAACATCAGACAAATGATAGATGATTTATATTTATTTCAATTCAGATTTTTGGTAGGGCATTTTCAACTTATATACTGTATTCGACGTAAAAAGCGCCCAGGGCGCTCTCACAATTAGAAATGGGGGGGCTCTTATTAGAATATTATTTTGGAGTTGAAAGATAAATTTCGTGGTTTATGCTTACAGTCTGAAATGTTAATGCACGACAGATATATTTTTCCATAATTTAACGAGTGCGTATTATACGTGAATAGGGGAAGGAAGCTGTGCGTATTATATGCGAATAGGGGTCGGAAGGGGTGCTAATTGGGATTGTTCAATAGCCAATATATTAGCAAATCCCGACGTGGGCGCTTATTAGAGCGAGGCCCTTATTACGTCGAATACGGTGCATGTAAATCTAGGTCACATGTACATGTGTGCCAAATCCTCGCTATGAAGACTGACTGAAATGTACTGAAATCTCCCGTTATACATCCGTAACATCGTATAACACATGGGAAATAAAAACGCATCAAAAGAACAATAAAAAAGTCTATGTTCAGCGTACCAGGTATCCAGCCTAAAGTATGTTTGTGTTTCAATATAGATTCACAATGTTCATGAACAAGCAAACTGGGAAAACTGTTTTGATTTTAGTTTACATTTATCATGTTCATTGGTTTTACATTACATTTATTGTGATACTATAAAACTAAACGATAATGCCTCTTCCACTTTATTGGCTCTGTTGTCAATGAGGTACAAATTACCTCTTCAAAGACAGAACGTTTTAACACGAATTTGGGAAAATTGTAATTCCAATTTGGGAATTTTTAATAACATTTGCTGCAGACTTAGGGCCATATATCTGCCTTTGACAAGGTCCCTGAATATATACATAACATAACATAATTACATACTCTGCCACACACTGCATACATGTATAATGTAGAGGTGTCCCATATAACTGGTATACTGGTGTATTCAATTACGGCCATCAACAATACATGTATCACTATACAATTCTTGTGTATCAATATTTTCCAATACAGTCACAGAAGAATTACCATGGTAACCATGGTAGGTTGTTAAGTTATTCTCCTTATCATGATCAAGTTGGGGCTGCAAGTTTGATACACCAGCAAATACTCACACAACACACACACACACACACACACACACACACACACACACACACACACACCACACACACACACTCATGAAATTAAAGCGACATATTTAGCAGATGAACTATCAAAACTTAGGCCTTATCAATGCAGGATTGCCCAACTCAAAGATTCTTCAATCCTGGTCCCCATCTAATTAATGCTCAGGGTTCCATCTTGAAGGTCCGTCTTGAAAAGCCTAGATGTTTAGTATCTGTCTTGAAAAGCCTTGAACGTCACCAGAATTTGTACCTAATGACATTTACTTGTATATTAGCCATGATCACATTTCTTTTTCATATATTTGTTATTGAAATGTCAAAAATACTTGTCTCTTGATCATTGACGGGAGATATGTTTACTCTCTTCATGTAGTCCTCGTTAGATCCCAGCTATCCAAACGGTGGCAGTACGTTGACTTCTTTGAGGGTGTTAGTCTGCTAAATTTAAGAAATATTGATTGACTTGGGCTATTATTTTTGTTATAAAAGGCCTTGAAAATATAATTTTATATATAAATTGTCAATGCAAGATAATAACCAGTCAATATTATCCGTCAAAACAGATTCCAACTGGTGCAAAGGGCAAAATAGCTGTGAAAATTATATGAAAATGCCTTGAAAATGCCTTGTATTTTAGAGCTCAGTTTGAACTGAATGCATGCATGTGTGAAGTTTAATGTTTTTGTGATAATTTTATTTTATTTCCAGCAACCCACAGGAGAATTTACTGCTGTCACCTCTGCCGGTACAAGGTGGGATCTCTCTACAAGTTCCGGAGCCATCTTGCTTCACACGGCAACTTCAAATACCTCAACCCAGACATGTCCCTGGGATTGGTGTTGAAATGTGGCTTCTGTGGATTTCAGGCCAAGGACAAAGACAGCTTCAGCCAACATGTGGAGGAACACCTGGATGGGCGAATCTACAAGTGTGGCTACTGCAAGTATGACAGCTACCACAGCAAGAATATGAGGTCGCACTTGAAGAACAAGCATAGACACAAGCCGGAGAAAATTATAGATCTTCGAATCTCTATGAACGAAAGAGCTCGTCGGCCTGCTGCAAGGGCCGAGTTGGTCAACCTGGATCCGATCGTGATGTTGGAAGACGTCATCATGAACAAGGATTTTCCCCGGTTGCTGAAGGAGCTGGGTGTCCGAACACTGGACATGGATGAGAACATGAAGGATGTGATTCTGGGGCAACCCGGGCAGAAGATTGAAGTGAGGGACATGGAGCTCGAGGATTCTACTGATGAGGAGGACTCTAACAGTGAGATGGAATGCAGGGTTGATGATGATGTTGGATATATGATCTCTTCCGAAGGATCTGATGTCCCTCTCGGGGAAGTGGACATAGAGGATGTTTCAGATGAGGATTTGTATAGATTGGCTCCTCCCCCAACTGATTGAGAGTGGGACCAACATTGAAGTGGGGGACGGCTGAAGGCTTTTAGTGATGAGGATTTGCGTGCAATGGCTCCTCCAGATCACAGAATGGGTTTTCTTCTAGACTGAACTTTTGTGTGCTATCGCTCCGCCAGATCACAGAATGGGTTTTCTTCTAGACTGAACTTTTGTGTGCAATGGGTCCTCCAGATCACAGAATGGTTTTCATCTAGACTGAACTTTTCTTTGCAATGGCTTCCCAGATCATAGAATGGGTTTTCTTCTAGACTGAACTTTTGTGTGCTATGACTCCGCCAGATCACAGAATGGGTTTTCTTCTAGACTGAACTTTTGTGTGCTATGACTCCGCCAGATCACAGAATGGGTTTTCTTCTAGACTGAACTTTTGTGTGCAATGGCTTCCCAGATCACAGAATGGGTTTTCATCTAGACTGAACTTTTCTTTGCAATGGCTCCTCCAGATCACAGAATGGGTTTTCTTCTAGACTGAACTTTTCTTTGCAATGGCTCCTCCAGATCACAGAATGGGTTTTCTTCTAGACTGAACTTTTGTGTGCTATGACTCCGCCAGATCACAGAATGGGTTTTCTTCTAGACTGAACTTTTGTGTGCTATGACTCCGCCAGATCACAGAATGGGTTTTCTTCTAGACTGAACTTTTGTGTGCAATGGCTTCCCAGATCACAGAATGGGTTTTCATCTAGACTGAACTTTTGTGTGCTATGGCTCCGCCAGATCACAGAATGGGTTTTCTTCTAGACTTTTATGCCGCTTTTAGCAATATTACAGCAATATCACGGCAGAGGACACCAGAAATGGGCTTCACACATTGTACCCATGTGGGGAATTGAACCCGGGTCTTCGGCGTGACGAACGAACGCTTTAAAAGCTAGGCTACCCGACCGCCCCTTCCTTTGAACAGACAACCAATAAACTGTCTATTTATATGTATATGATAGAAATTGCATAAAACTGTTCTTTTAATTCTGTAGTATGTGTATATATGACAGTTTGTTTGTTGTTTAACGCCACACTCCACAATATTCAAGCTATATGATGGTGGTCTGTACCAGACAATCCAGTGATCTACATCATGAGCATCGGTCCATGCAATTGTATATATGACAGTGGCAGATCTGCTCGGTGCATAGTATTTGACACCCTCATGGATTCTAGTTACGAACATCGGTCTCCAGCAACCTCTGTTTTTCTGTCATAAGAGGTGACTAAATGGATCAGGCTAATTGATTGCATGGCATTATAAAAGCTGGAATATTGCTGAGTGTGGCATCAAACAAACAAGTATATGCTGCAAGCCCCCCTCCTTTTGAAAAGGGGCGGTCGGGTAGTCTAGTGGTTAAAGCGTTCGCTCGTCACGCCCGAAGACCCGGGTTCGATTCCCGACATGGTTACAATGTGTGAAGCCCGTTTCTGGTGTCCACCGCCGTGATATTGTTGGAAAATTGCTAATTGCGGCGTAAAACCATACTCACTCACTCACTCACTCTCTCCTTTTGAAAATCATATATGCACACAAATGGCAATCAGCCAATTGTCACTGAAGCTCTGCTGTTACATTGTTGATATTTTATATATCCAGTCGCTTCTGACTGACATCTACGTCCAAAAGAGAGTACTATTGACGGAATATTTGTGTACAATGCTGGTTTACATTTTTAAAGATGGGAAATTCCCAGCCAAGTCTTTTATAAAAGCTGACAACTGATGGGCTCAAAAACCCACACATTATTCATTTTGATTGGTTGGTCAATATCTGATCAAGGTTCACCTGACATGACCTTGTCGGAGATTTTCATGCAGAAGAGTGGCGGTGGGGTAGCCTAGTAGTTTAAGCGTTCGCTCATCACGCCAATGAAGAGGGTTCGATTCCCCACATGGGTACATTATGTGAAGCCCATTTCTGGTGTCCCTCGCGGTAATATTATTGCTAAAAGCTGCATAAAACCATACTCACTCACTCACTCACTCACTCATGCAGAGTCTGACCTGACATTGATAAAATTATTATTTTGTTTCTCTTGTTTTGCGGTTCATGTTCAACTTCATCCATCATGTCCACAGCATCCATAAATCGAAGCATGTCTGATTCATTTGGATCTCAATTTGCTCTACTAATCTGAGGGGCGGTCGGGTAGCCTAGTGGTTAAAGCGTTCAATCGTCACGCCGAAGACCCGGGTTTGATTCCCGACATGGGTACAATGTGTGAAGCCCATTTCTGGTGTCCCCTGCCGTTATATTGCTGGAATATTGCTAAAAGCGGCATAAAACCATACTCACTCACTCTACTAATCTGAAGTTGTCATCCTCTGCTGAAGGGAGTTAAAGCCTACCGGGTACTCGGCATGTAGAGCCAGAATGTGAAGTCTTGCGACGGTGGGGTAGCCCAGTGGATTAAAGTGTTTGCTTGCAACTCTGAAGATTCGGGTTCAATTCCCCTCTGGGGTACAACGTCTGAAGCCCATTTCTAGTGTCCTCCACCCCAATTTTGCTAGAATATTGTTAAAAGCGGCGTAAAACCATACTCACTCACATGGTTCATAAATTTAGCAATTTCCTTAGTATTGTTTATGACTGTGTAAAGATGATGTGCATATATTTATTTTATAGTTTTCAAGTCATATTCGTCCCAGCACTGTGACTGTTTAAGTCAGTACTTGATTTTAAAAAAGCTACACTGTTGTATGTGAATTGATGCGACGTGGAGATCATCTCCTTGAGAAGCGAATCAAAAAAGGGCATTTTATGTTTTGGTTAAACCAAGTCTGATTTGTGTATTTTATCAAAACAAGTGCTGATATTGATCACTTTTATCTTATTATCCATATGATGGTTAATTATTGTACAGTTTCGTCAAGAATGTGTTCATGATTAATACAAAATGTTTAACGCTTAAAACAGCGTGAACTGAAACCGTCCATTGAGTCGCCATATTTTCAGTTGTTTTGTCAGGAAAAGTAATCTTCTGAAAATTGTTCAAATTTTTACAGCTTAGTCAATATTCTATAGCCGTTTTACAGGGAAAACCATAGTTTTCTCAATTCCCGACAACAATAATCTCAATTAAACAAAACGGGAGAGATGTGTACTTTCCAATGTGTTCAAAAAACATTGTCATTAACATTGCGTATGTTGCTTACTTAAATCTCCAAATGTTAAATGCAATTGTCTCAGGGACTGTTATCTGTAGTATGGAAGTGATTCTTGTATTCAAAAGTTGATTGTCTCATGTTATTTGTTTTAATGCCATTCATGTATTAAAATTATGCATTGAAAATGATTTGTTGTACTTTACATGAGAGGGAAAGATAGTCACAGTCAGTGACTGAACAACTGTCAAAGGAGTGGAAACATCAAACATCTTTGATGATGAAGCAAGCAAGTTATGTTCCACCAGCTGGTATGGTGATGCCTTTTGTTTTCTGGAATTCCTATCTGCTAATCTTCTCCAGCAATGTAGTGTGACTTTGCATGGAATATCATGGAGAAAGAACTGTTTCCAATATCCACATGCAATTAATCTTCCCACGAAGGCAAGAGAGTTAACCGACTTTAAAAGTCCAGTTTCCACCCTTGCCGAACTAGGCTGGAATTGCTGGGCTTGATCGTAGCGCCACTAGTGGCTATTAGCAGTCATTTCTAAGCCTCTCCTATGGACCAATCAGATTCCACCTCTCGTATCACTTGCGTTTGCTCTACACAAAATGGTAGCGCCCAGTCAGGACGATCTGATCGATAATCCAGATCTATATTGTGATAAAAACGGGTCTTACATCGCGAAATGCATCAAACCTTGCTGACTCAGCAATATTCCAGCTATATGACAGCGGTCTGTAAATAATCGAGTCGAGTATTGCGGAGTGCAGCGTTAAACATTTTATGTTTTATTGGATATGTGATCTTCCTTCATATATCCATGTCTATCAACATTTGATTGTAAACCTTAATTGACTCCATTTTATTCACTCAGGTCTTGTGTTATTGAGGTACCTATGCTTAGATGATGTGAAATTGTGCATGCGACGTGCATGTATGTGTGTGTAGCTGCTTGTACTAGTCTGGACAAATGCCGATTTTATAGCGCCAGCCCACTGAGATACCATGCTGCGGTTTAACATGAATACCCCACTCAGACACAGTATATGGACTCCGAGCCAGTCCTTGTTTTAGCCAGGCAGGGTAACAAGTGCCATATTTTAATGTCTTGGGGTGTGACACGGCTGGGGATTGAACCTACAACCCTTTGCTCTCAGGCGGACGTTCTACCCCTAGGCCATGCAGGCGGTCCACCCAAGCTTAGGAAATCTGGACCAGGCAACCCTGAACAGCCGCTGGCTATGATGACTGGCTTTCACCGATGACAAGTCACCGAGTCTGACCACCCAATCTATTAAGTTGATTCTTACGACCTGCATATATATTGCTGGGGATCTCTTCTCCATGGCATTTTAGGAATGACACCATGACAAATGCATGACAAACCAAACCAAACACAGCAAATAGAGAGATTCTTTATTGTGGAAAAAACCTGTTTTCCAGATCCATTTAGAAACAGAAGGGAAACTACAGCTATCTAACTAAACTAGGATTAATATATGCGCTATTGTTAAGTGTAGGTAGATATACACTGTGGCTTCTAGTTGAAAATACAGTCGACTCCCTGTCAGCAGGTTTGGCATATAAAACACTGAACTTTATGAAAATATTACATATTTCTGTGCTGTTATGAATAGTTATCAGTTTGCACCTGATCACCAGAATAATTTAGTTTGAATAGCAGGATGACATACATTCTGGTGAAGCAGCTGTTTAAAATAATTATGTCTATTTGATGACCTCACGACTGAATTTATGTGATCAATAAGCTGTTGGTGAAAAAAGGCCACATCTTTTGAGGTCATTAAGTAGAAATACGATTAAGTAGACATTTTTGACTGTCCCTTGACTTACTGCGTCGACTATGTTAAACTAAAACTTGAACAAAATGCACTTGAAGAAACTGCTGCAAGTAATACATTCCAAATGACTGCAAAATAACATGTGACAAAGTAAATGTGTAAAATTAGAACTCGGCAAAAGCATGTTTTCCTCCATAATAATTGAGCAAAATTGTACTGGGATGAATTCAATTGGTTCCTATTTCAAGGAATGAGTTAGCTATGGGCCTCCAACATGGGTCTTTGCTTATTACATTAAAAAAGAAGAAATGTATTAAGTGATCTGGGGGAATAATCAAATGACTGTCCTCATAAAAAAAAGTAATTATTCACCATGTTTTTAAATTCAGGGTCGGTCAATCTGTAAACCAAATAATAATAAGGGCCTTAGTAGATTATTCAAAATTCATAGGGCAAACTGAAATATTCCATCTAGTATTGTTCCCTTTTGTGGAAATGTGCTTTGAGTAAACCAACTTTTGTTGGACTAGAATGTCATTGGGGTATTGACCAACATAGATTTAGATAGGGACCAAGATTATATTTTCTTCCAACCTAATATGGATGCAGACAAGGGCACATGTTGGCATCAAGTCTATACTGTCAGGATAGAATATTGACCATCCTGGTTTCTTTTGTACCTTTATAGGTCAAACTTGTATTATTGACAAATCACAATGGGATTGAAGGAAAGTGATATCGAGACATCTATGGGACTGGTTTGGGACTGTTCAAATTGAGAGTGTTGTTTAATGCTGCTACCATTATTTTTCAGATATTGCTTGGGACTGATTGATAGACGTAAACAATTAAAGATTCAGGGCATCCTAAATTAAATCTTCTCGCTTATTTGCGTATGCGCCTGACTTATCTAACAATGGAGATGGATAGTGTGGCATTGAGTGAGTGAGTGAGTGAGTGAGTTGGGTGTTTACACCTCTTGAACAAATTTGAACTACATGACTTCAAAACAAAGAATGAGCTGAAACTGATCATTTCTATGATTTGATGATTACAATTTCTTTTTAATAAATTGTTTAAAATGGAAATGACAAAAAGAAAATACACACTTGGAACCACACCTCAACATTCACCCGTATTTTTTTTTTTGAATGAATATCTCTGGGTCACTGCTTCAAGATTATATTTAAAATAATAAAAATAATTTACAACACATTTTTTCAGGATTCTAATCAATTATTTTGGGGTTAATATTTGAGGCAAAAAACATTTTTTTCAGATTATTGTGGAACACATTATTGAAAGAAATAAATAAATTGCAGCCCCGACCCAGAATATTAAATGGTCCCAATGGTGGAAGACGCAACAATGCATCTGATATGAAGTGACGGGTCACTAGGTTATCTGAATGGCAACTTATTACTGATAACTGATTTCCAGTGTGAAAGAGTTACAACAGGGACTTAATTGTCAATACCACATTTAACAGATATAATGAACAAAATACAAGTTCTAAAACAATGACACCTTGCAACGCATAATTTACCCAACGTGTTTACCCTCTCATGGTATGGTAGAAGGACATTTACTTACACTGATAGGCTCGAATTCAACAAAATACTTCAACATTACATAAGAGGGACAAACTTACATCTTCAATGTAGTAAACGCACTTGGTTCTTAATACACTGCTCACAGCACTGACAAAATTATTGACTATGCACAACCATAAAATACCAATCACATTACACTCCCTCACAATGGAACAAATAAAATACATGGTCAACAACAAAACATATCCAAAACACATCATGTATCTTTTGTAAGAAGATAGCACACCTAAGGCCAGACTTTGTTTTTAGACTCCCAAAATTAAATGTGAAAAAATTAAAAATGTTTCTTTTTTCATTCCGCCAACCAGAAATAAGTAAAAAGTTAAAAAAAAACTCATTTACTGTTGCCATCAATACAGATAAATTATTGAAAATACAATAATTATAACCTTTTGAAAATGTATCTTAAAAACTACAGGAAATCCCAAATGCCATTGAAATAGGCTAGTAATAATTAAGGCATTTGGATATGGGAACATTTAGTATGTTACCATGGTTATTCCAAAACTTAAATCATATAAATTATACAGAACAAAAGTTCTTCACAAAAGAGATTCAAATTTTATCATTAACAAAAGAAAAAGGTACAAATAAATGTTGAAGCACAAAATTACTTTGTTCTCGTGTACATAAAGACTGTACGTCTATCTGGGCAAGAGAGACTACGGCAATATATGTGGGTACAAATAAGTAATAAAACTAAAAAGCAAAATAATATCACTATGCTATCTGCAATAAATCAAATTAATTCATTAATTTGATCAAATGTCATATTACAGTCCAAATAACCTTGAATCAATAAACTAAAGTGAATGCCAACAAAGATGTAACACATACGAGTTACACATCTCAGTACACAACAGGTTTGAATACACTACGTTCCTCCATCACCCAGCAATACATACGACCGCCTTGTGGTGTAGCTGCTATCATTAACCTATGAAACAAGCCTTGGCCTGGTTCCGGTGAGGGAACACAGAGCACCAATAAGCACTCAGTTTATATCACACACATGGCAATGTGTCTGTCTTGACATAGCCCTTCTATATCTGCTCTACACATGGCAACAATGTGAGGCCATGGTAGAGTTCACACAAAGTTCATATAAGGAGTAGGGCTTGTTCTGGTCTGTCATACAGACCCTGAAACAAATATATCCAAAACAGCCCCTGCAAGTCTATAATAGTAGGCAAGTCAAGATTACTGTAGTTTCAGTTTCTGAAAATGAAGCAGGTCTCTGGGCTCCTTTACATTATATTTTATTACCAGTAAGATAAATAAACTGTTTTTTTGAAAAAAACCAACCTATTTTCATTTCAGAGACGAGGTGTTGGTCTAGACTTAATAGACTTCTGTGACTTATACACAGCCTCATTTCATTGGCTGACTAAAAATAGACACATCACTACACCGCATACCTGCCCTATGTATTCACAGGTGGTGGAAGACCGTAGAAGTATTGGCATATTGTAACATGGTGACTTCATGGGAGGAAGTGTATTCCCAAGGTTGCCTGAAAACAGGCCAAACAATTCTAAATATGTCATAATGTCAATATAAGCACCAACAAAATGTTATACAGTACTATTCAACACACTGGAATAAGATATGAATATTATGCATATGATTGGTGTATAACTGTGTTTATCACACTGTGTTGTTCAGTACATATCGCCACTCAGTTGCTGCAACGATTACTGGATGACTGGGACAGTTATTGAAGCTGTAAACGGAAAGCAACACAAATGACAGACAAGAAATCACATTCCAAGGGGAGATGTGTATCATATTCATAAATAACTAAATAACGACAGGGGAACTCTTATCATCAAACCACAAGCTACACAGCATGACCAATGTGTGGTTTTGTAGCTTTGATAAACTAAAATCAAATTTCACAAACTGCATTAATATGAGAATAAAACTTGTGTCTTTTTGTGTGCAAAGCGATCTTAGCGCTACAACTGTCGTAAGTTGTCTAAGTTAAAGTACTGGAATTACGATCATCTTAGTGCAAAGATCGCTTTGAGGAACCTGGGCCATAATATAACAAATCAAAGACAAAGAAAAATGTTTTCCACGGAATGAAGACTGAATCTGTATCATTAACTATCTGCATCTTCGTCAAGTTTAGCAGTCACTATGTTTGAAGTACACTATTATCACACTATTGTACAATGTAAACAACATTTGTGCATTAGGAATGTTTAGAGACCAAAATGTATGATCAAATATTGTCATGGATAAACTTTTCAATGCCAGTCAGAAGAGCACCATACTTAAAGCACAGCCTAAGTGGCAGTGATTGAAATTGGCATCAGTCCTATAGTCCTTGCCAAACTGCCCAATAGTTAAGGTAGCATAAGGCCTATAAGAAATTTGCCATTTGGGGGTTTTGCTATATGTTATCATTATAAGGGCTACTGGACTCAAAATCAATCTCATTAAAACCAGATAATAAATCTCACTACCACTAAAAGATCTGAGGACATCCCACAACTGGTAAGATCAGAACGACCTGTCATCCAACCAATCAGAGCATCGCTTACCAGATCAAGAAAGAGACAGTCGGAATGTGTTTTCTAATCATGCAACCTCGAATGGGTAACACGGAATTTCGAACGACAGTTATAGGCTGCAGACAGGTTCCTTCAAAAGCATTGTCTATCTCTCGCTTTAATGGGATCAAAATTTGAACAGAACAGACTTTGTATAGCCTGTGGGAAAGTACTGCCATACAATGTAGGCAAACCATTAGTCATTTCAGATTGGTTGGTTGGTTTGTTGTTTAACGCTGCACTCAGCAATATTCCAGCTATATGAAGTCGGTCTGTAAATAATCGAGTCTGGACCAGACAATCGAGTGATTGACAACATGAGCATCGATCCACACAATTGGGATCGATGACATGCATCAACCAAGTCAGCGAGCTTGACCACCCGATCCCGTTAGTTGCCTCTTACGACAAGCATAGTCGCCTTGTACGGCAAACATGGGTTGCTGAAGACCTATTCTACCCCAGATCATCACGGGCCTAGTCATTTCAGAATGTTCTTTTGTTTTGTTTTCTAATTTTGAATCGAGAACCTTGTCAAAATATTTTTCAAAAGATAGTTTGCACGGGAAGTCGCCAGTTTGAAACTAGTGCTGTATAGCTCGAGAAAGCTGCTTTATGATTGGCTAATGTCAATTTCCTGTTAACCATTTCTTTGGTCAGTCAAAGTTCGTGAAAGGTTGTTCAGATTTGACCTGTCATGGGGTGTCCTCAGATCTTTGTTTAGCGATAGCAAGAACTATGATCTGATTTTAAATGGGATTAACTAAAACTATTAGTTTCTATCGTTGATTATTCTTCATGTCTGCTACTATCAAAATGATATGATTCTTGTTACTAGAGTTACAGTAAACAAAAATGAAAAAAAATGTAAGTTTTGAAAAATAATTTCAGCCAACATTGGCCAGCACGTTTCAAATCTGTGTGAACAGTGACATACAACTGAAGGCTGTGCTTCGAGCAGGAGTAAACAAATGACATTCACGATGTATTTCCTTCAAACTCTCGTATCGGTCATACACCAGGTACTTTTTTAGTTATGCATCTGGCAGTACTGAATTACCGTCCAGCTAAAACAAAAATAAAATATCAACTGATTTGCACACTATATTATAGATCAATGGAAGAATGAATGAACTTCCTGTCTGCACTGTATTCTGTCATAAGTATACTACTCACTGTTGATAGGGATATTTCTATCTCTCCAAGATACACAAACATGATGCACATAATATGTCAAGTGTATCTCTAAATAGCATGATATACCTGAATATCCCTATCAAGAGTTTAATAGTATATATTGAAGAAGAGAAGTAACTTGGTATATCACATATTTTCGCATTTCTAAAACCTACCGAATGTTTTAACATAAACGTTCCCGACACGGATACAGCAACGGTTGCACTTCAAACATAGCAGAATAACGATCAACTAGTGAAACATATTTGCACATCTCCTAATTACAGGCAATTGATAAGTTGTTCCCAACCAAAGGCAGGGTTAGAAATTGGCATTAGTCCTATAGTCCTTGCCAAACTGCCCAATAGTAAAGGTATCCTAAGAACTAGTAGAATTTTGCCATTTTTAAAAGTTTTGCTTTATGCTATCATAATAAGGACTAGTGGACTGAAACTGTTAGTTTCTACCGCTGAAAGGCCTTTCTTTTTTACTTATGCTTTATATTATTTATTTTCTCCCACTCACCCTTTCCCTCTGTAGCTGAGTATGGAAGTGACAAACACACAAATTAATATCAATGGTCATTTACAGGTTGTTCATCCTCGATCATCCAGTGTATCTGATCTGCATTCTATAATGCTAAATGGCGATTGGGTCCAAGGTACTGAATGGAGATACAGTCAAACACCACTGTGTCGAACTTACGGTTGTCTCAAAGTAAAAACTTGCGTATTCCTTCTTTTTTTCATCACTTCCGGTTACGTTGAACCTTGGATAACTGGAAGTATTTACAAAGGTCCCTTTAACTTCGACACAATGGTGTTTGACTGCATAATAGACCTGTGAAGATCCGGGGTAGAATAGGTCTTCAGCAACCCATGTTTGCCGTAAAAGGCGACTATGCTTGTCGTAAAAGGCGACTAACGGGATCGGGTGGTCAGGCTCGCTGACTTGGTTGATGCACGGTCATCGATCCCAATTGCGTGGATTGATGCTCATGATATCAATCACTGGATTGTCTGGTCCAGACTCGAATATTTACAGACTGCTGTCATATAGCTGGAATATTGCTGAGTGTGGCGTTACACAACAAACCAACCAACCAACCAACGACTGCATAATACAGTGGATAATTGAGGATGTAGGTAGTGATGCAGGGAAAGAGTTTGATTCATCTGATGGACACTGCATGCATACAACTGACTGGGATGTTCATAACATTTTCTTGAAAGCATTATCTGTTACACTTAAAAAAGTATCAAGTACATTTCAGAACGGCATCATAACATGTTGGTATGCCAATTGTCACTGTAAGTCAAAATTTGAATATTGAACACTGAGTCATATCGATGCATGTCAATGTGCTTGAAGCAGGATGCAGACCTTTACCTACTTGGTGACACACAAGAACACGCCTAGGTGCTAACAAAGGATACTAATTGGGACAAAACTGGAATTTGAAACCTGGATCCCGATGGATCCTGGACAGGCTAAAGTTAGTGAGTGAGTGAGTGAGTTCGGTTTAACGCCGCTCTTAACAGTATTCCAGTTATATCACTGCGTGTCAGCTTATTGTGGGCATGGTGGGCGGAAAGCCCGAAGTGATGAAGGTCTCTGACGTTTACCACTTTGGTGAAACCCACGAGCACGGGTATGGTGCTGACAAACCTAGAAACAGGTTTCTGGCATGCAAAAGGGACGCAACTCTGCACAGTGAATCGCGGTGCCTTAGACGACTGGGCCAACCGTGCCACTGGAAAGGCTAAAAGATGTAAATTGTGATGTCTGAAGCCACTGTGCAGCCCCCATGATGCTTCTGTTGGGAATGCTGATGTTGCACTTGCATGACTTAATAGCAATAACTGCTTCCTTAGTCGTACAATAATTATCTAAAATTGAAAAGGCAATTTAGAGAGAGCTTGATGAATATTTGAGTAACTGGTGCATACAAGTCAGTAAGGAAGGTGATTAAATAAATGTTCATACATTGTCAAATTAATTCTGAGGTTTTAATAAAGGGCCACTATTTACCCTATGTGATTAAACAAAGCTGATGCTGAATGACAGATCACTGATAATTTGTGAAAAAACAGTTGAGCATATGTCCTAAATCATGCTAAACACATCCACACAACAATATTTCAAAAAATATTTTTTCTTTAGATATGTACAATAATTACATATGAACATCATACATTAGTATATGCCAAGGAAATATACATCAGTTATCAACAAACCTGCCTCAGTTGTAACTAAACACAACCATAATCAGCCATTACTAGTCAACATACAATGACATTCAAGAAGGTGAGTGAGTGAGTGTGTGTGTGAGTTGGGTTCAACGCCGCTTTTAACAGTATTCCAGTTATATCACGGCGTGTCAGCTTAATGTGGGAGGAAAGCACGAAGTGATGCAGGTCTCAGACGTTTACCACTTCAGTGAAACCCACGAGCACGGGTATGGTGCTGACAAACCTAGAAACATAATTAGGGAGAACCGGGATTCAACCCACAATCATAGGTTTTTGCGTGACCAAGGGACGCAACACTGCACAGCGAATCGCGGTGCCTTAGACGACATGCCCCCAGAAAGTGAGTGAGTGAGTGAGTGTGTGTTTGTGTGTGTGTGTGTGTGTTTTGCTCCGTGTGTATGTAGTTGTGTGTGTGTGCGTGCGTGCATGCTACTTTGAACAGCACTTAAGTTAAACAATGTGGATCAGCTTAATGTAAGAAGTTGACAAACAAATGATCATAATGGGGTCAAATTTTGAAACCATGACCAGCAGATCCTGGCCTTGCTAAGGGAGACAACTCAGAAAGGAGGCAGTAAAAAGACTCCAGTCAATTGTAAGTCTGTTGTAAGTGACAATCATCATATACAGTCTGTACAGAACCTTTGCTGTGTTACCTGCCTCATTGGACAGGCAGGCACAGAACAATGATCACCCAATGAAAGGAATAATAGTCAACATTGATAAGTTGAGTTTAATACTATCTGAATGGTAAATGACTAAAGTATACTGAAGTATGGGACTTTTCAGAAACTGTCTAACATGTAGACTGTTCCATAAAGAAAGAGTGTTAAAAACAATGTGATAAATTTCTATTACACACAGTTAACAATGAATATAGTTGTGATTATGCTGCCCAGGCAACAATGTTCAGGCATTCAATACGAGTGTATGGGAACAGTGTATGGATATACCTCATTATGATGTCATCATCAGAGTTAAACAGTGAAACCTCAGTAATACAGACATTGCTGTTCCTTATGAAACTGCATGGATGAACTTATTTCTGGATCAACAAATCGTGGGTATGTTGCAGCCGTCTGCAACTTCAGGGACTAGTTGAAGCCTGAGTTAATAATGCTGTTTGGTTGCCACTAAGAAAGACCATATTCTTTATTAATATCTTTTCCCGCTTTAATATATATTATGCCAAAAAATAATTTTGTGCTACTAGGCATGGTTAAAGGTTTTGCAAATACTGTAGTAACATCTCTTTAATATAATATTATTGTTCCAAGCAGAAATGACCGCCTCCATAGTCTAGTGGATAGTGTGTCTGCCTGGCATGAGGAAGGTTGGTGGTTCGATCCCCTGCCACATCATTCAAAAACAGGCTGAAAGATGTTACTTGTTGTTACCCTGCCTGGTGCTCGGCATTAAGGGGATAAAACAAGGACTAGTAGGCTTGGAGTCAGTATGCTGTGTCTGAGCTGGGTGTATCTATGTTAAACTACGTCGTGACAAGTACCATAAAACTGACATTAACCACACAGCATGCATGCATGTTGCTACAAAGTTCAAAAATCTTAAAAGTGATGTTAAACCCCATTTCACCTCACCTCAAAGCAGTTGTCTGGACCAACAGTGTCAGAGTTAGCAAGGTTTCAGTGTATAGAGTACGCTCCATAGACATCATCAAGAGGGTGTCATGACTGCTTGATGTTCACATGAACAAGAGCACCTTGTGGACGTTACGTAGGGTTGAAAACAATCACACTAACTTCCCCGATCCTGACTGCACACGGTCAATACTTCATGGGTTTCTATACAATACGTTCCTCCATCATCTGTGAATTAATATGGTCAGTTTGCAGTGTAATCGCAATCGATGTCCTGTTTCAACCCAGTGAGTGATCAAAACAGCACAAAGGCAATATTTCTCACCTGACATCGTGTGAAACATGTACCATGTGCTCTTCACTTTGATTAAATGTCAGGCAGTGGTAGGTTTTGCACAATGTTCAAACATGGAGTAGTGCCAACTTGACTTCCATGAGTTATAAATCTCATTTCGTTACATTTAACCGCTACACTGCATACAGATGTGTCTCACGGTTGATGGAGGAACGTACTGTTTACAAACATAGTGAGGATGGATTGTGTAAGGTCTTGTTTATGGCTCACACTATCTGGAGCACCTGGTACACCGGGTTCATGTAGACTTGTTTGAAGTAGGGCTCTGGGTGGTCTCGGAGGATATCACAGAAGGGTGTCTTTCCTCGATTCTCAATATCTTCCGTGTCCCAGATCTCTGGCATAGAACAACCCTCTCTGGAAGAAAATAACAGTGAGTCAGGTAACTGAATCTGGTCAGGCTTCGAACTTCTACATGCTTTAATAGAATGAGTGAGTGAGTATGGTTTTACGACGCTTTTAGCAATATTCCAGCAATATTACGGCGGGGGACACCAGAAATGGGCTTCACACATTGTACCCATGTCAGGAATTGAACCTGGGTCTTCGACGTGACGAGCGACCGCTTTAACCAGTAGGCTACCCGACCGCGCCTGCTTTAATAGAGACATATGCCAGTAACAGTTTGGCAGTGCTGACAAGGGTATGTAGACACCACTGGTTAAATCTGACAGATCTGCAGCTCATTTTGGACTAGTGATTTATGTAAAATAACTATATTTTAGGAATAACTAAATCACTCTAGATTTTTATTATTTTTGGACTTATGGACCATTGTCCATGTCTATTTCTAGAACCCGACATGTATTGGGATATCATACTCACTTGGTTCGGCGGACACACCATGAGTTTTCATAGATGACATAATCCACTTTCAGCTCCTTGAGGCCCTTCACGACCTCATCTCCAGGCTTCCGGCTGAAGATACTGTACACCACCTTCGTCCTTTCCCTGCAATACACATGTTTCAGGTCAACTCACATCACATGTACAGTGGGTCAGCGACTTTGAGAGCTGGTGATTAGGTGCCTCACTCTGGCAGTGTGGGTGTTTGAATCCCGGATGGGTCTCAACCCCCAAAAGAGTGAGTGAGTGAGTGAGTACGGTTTTAGGCCTCTTTTAGCAATATTCCAGCAATATCACGGCGGGGGACACCAGAAATGGGCTTCACACATTGTACCCATGTCGGGAATCGAACCCAGGTCTTCAGCGTGACGAGCGAACGCTTTAACCACTAGGCTACCCGACCGCCTCAACCCAAAAAAGAAATACTAGAATCTGTACTTAAGTAAGTTATCCCAAATATGTCATTTGTTAGATATGGATCTGGTTGCTTGAAACAATTCATCAACGTGAAGAGGTTGCTTAATCTCTAACAAGCTCTGTGGGAATAATGTCTAAGAATTTATCAATTCAAGATCAGATTGATTCATTAAGGATGATTTTATATTGTTTTAGCAGCATTCCAGCAATATCAAGGTGGGAGACACCAAAAATGGACTTCACACATTGTACCCATGTAGGAAATTGAACCTGGGCCTTTGGCGTGACGAGCGAACGCTTTAACCGCTAAGCTACCCCACCGCCCCCAGTAAGTAAATGATTCAAGATCAGAAGAAATGACGGAACTGAATCACGACAATAATGTCCCCCTGATCGAGCACCTACCGTAGTCCTGCATCTTCATAATGGGGGTGGTTGACAATTGGTCGGTGGGTGCACAGCTTAATTGTAGCCATTGTTGGCATCGGACCAGCAAATACAGCATCTGAAGGGACAGAAATGCCATGAAGCATGTACAAGCAATCTGCAGTGAGGGAACATCTTGCCTGTGTGGCTTCCATTGAGTCACCTTTTATGACCAGCATACATTGTTCTTGGCCTGTTCTAACCATGAATCCTCATGAGGTCGCCTCTATGACCAGCATAGGTTGTTTGCAGCCTATTCTAACTAGGAATCCTCATGAGGTCGCCTCTATGACCAGCATAGGCTGTTTGTGGCCTATTCTAACTAGGAATCCTCATGAGGTCGCCTCTATGACCAGCATAGGTTGTTTGCGGCCTATTCTAACCAGGAATCCTCATGAGGTCGCCTCTATGACCAGCATAGCTTGTTTGTGGCCTATTCTAACTAGGAATCCTCATGAGGTTGCCTCTATGACCAGCATAGCTTGTTTGCGGCCTATTCTAACTAGGAATCCTCATGAGGTTGCCTCTATGACCACCAATGCTTGTTTGCAGCCTATTCTAAACAGCAATCCTCATTAGTCGCCTCTATGACCAGCATAGCTTGTTTGTGGCCTATTCTAACTAGGAATCCTCATGAGGTCGCCCCTATGACCAGCATTGCTTGTTTGTGGCCATTTCTAATCCCCATATGGTCGCCTCTATGACTAGCATAGGTTGTTTGCGGCCTATTCTAACCAGGAATCCCCATGAGGTCGCCTCTATGATCAGCATAGCTTGTTTGCGGCCTATTCTAACCAGGAATCCCCATGAGGTCGCCTCTATGACCAGCATAGGTTGTTTATGGCCTATTCTAACCAGGAATCCCCATGAGGTCGCCTCTATGACCAGCATAGGTTGTTTGTGGCCTATTCTAACCAGGAATCCTCATGAGGTCGCCTCTATGACCAGCATAGCTTGTTTGCAGTCTACTCTAATCATGAATCCCCATGAGGTCGCCTCTATGACCTACATAGGTTGTTTGCGGCCTATTCTAACCAGGAATCCTCATGAGGTTGCCTCTATGACCAGTATAGGCTGTTTGCGGCCTATTCTAACCAGGAATCCTCATGAGGTTGCCTCTATGACCAGCATAGGCTGTTTGTGGCCTATTCTAACCAGGAATCCCCATGAGGTCGCCTCTATGACCAGCATAGGTTGTTTGTGGCCTATTCTAACTAGGAATCCTCATGAGGTCGCCTCTATGACCAGCATAGCTTGTTTGCAGTCTACTCTAATCATGAATCCCCATGAGGTCTCCTCTATGACCAGCCTAGCTTGTTTGTGGCCTATTCTAACTAGGAATCCTCATGAGGTCGCCCCTATGACCAGCATGGCTTGTTTGTGGCCATTTCTAATCAGGAATCCTCATGAGGTCGCCTCTATGACCAACATAGGTTGTTTGCGGCCTATTCTAACTAGGAATCTTCATGAGGTCGCCTCTATGACCAGCATAGCTTGTTTGCAGTCTACTCTAATCATGAATCCCCATGAGGTTGCCTCTATGACCAACATAGGTTGTTTGCGGCCTTTTCTAACCGGGAATCCCCATGAGGTCGCCTCTGTGACCAACATAGGTTGTTTGTGGCCTATTCAAACCTAAGCTCAACTGAAAATGATGCTTACAGTCTGTTTGTTTGTTGTTTAACGCCGCACTCAGCAATATTCCAGCTATATGGCAGCGGTCTGTAAATAATCGAGTCTGGACCAGACAATCCAGTGATTGGCATCATGAGCATTAATCTACGCATTTGGGATACGATGACAAACATCAACCAAGTCAGCGAATCTGGCCACCCGATCCCGTTAGTCGCCTCTTACGACAATCATAGTGGCCTTTTACGGTAAGCATGGGTTGCTGAAGACCTATTCTACCCCGAATCTTCACGGGTCTGATGCTTAGACCCTGTTCAGGGTCGTAGACAGATTTGGGCAGTCTGCTGCAACACCAAAGAGGCTTACTTTTTGGTGTCTTGTCGTTGATCCAGTCGACCAGGTCCTCCATTGGGTAGTTGCTGAACTCTCCCATGATGCTCCACTGCTGCTGCAGGTTCTGTATCCCCGTGTACGCCATCCCCGCCAACACCACCGCCAGCATCGCGAAGTGGGCCTCCTTACGGCCACACCAGCCAAAGTACTGTAACATTTCGGGTGGTTGATGAGAACATGGTTCACGTCACATGAGTGTTTTTTTTGGTTGGTTCTAATGCTGCACTCAGCAATATTCCAGCTTAATTACAGCAGGCTGTAAATAATCGAGTCTGGACCAGACAATCAAGTGATTGACATCATTGACACGCAATTGGGATCAATGACATGCATCAACCAAGTCAGCGAATCTGACCACCCGATCCCGTTAGTCGCCTCTTACGACAAGCATAGTCACCTTTTACGGTAAGCATGGGCTGCTGAAGACCTATTCTACCCCCGATCTTCACAGGTCCCCTGGGTATGATGGAACAAGGCACACACTTACAGTAAACTACATTATAATGAACACGCTTATAACGAAGTGACGGATATAACAAATGGCTCGTTTGGTCCCGGCCATTTGCTGTATATTTTAACATATAAAATTGATGGATATAACAAACACGCTCATAACCAAATAACGGATCTAGCGAACACACGTGGTCTCCATGTCTACTCTGTCAACGATAATGTCTAAGTGTATAACAAACTGTTAATCCCTGAGCTGAGCTCCTCACGTGTCACCAATCTGCCTATCAAAACATCCGCCGCAAGCACTGCTGTTCAAAGCGTCAATAAACAATTGAAGGCAGTTACACCCTCAATTAACACTGTGATTGAAGTGAACATATTCTGTACATGTACAGTGCACATTTTTGTTATTTATCAGGTAACATGATGTCACATGACTTGATAAAAGATGGATATGACAAACCAAAATTAGTGGTCCCTTTGAGATCGTTATAACTGTAGTTTACTGTATTTCCATATTGGTTTGTGGTATTGAGAACCTATTCTGCCCAGAGGTGCTTGAGGCGAGGTGAGTTGAGGTGAGGTGAAATATTGCACTTATATAGCGACATGCAAGCATGTGTGTGTGTGTGTGTGGCTGCTTGTACTACTCAGGACTGGTGCTGATTTATAGTGCTAGACCACTGAGATACCATGCTGCAGCTTAACATGAATACCCCACTCAGACACAGAATACTGACTCCGAGCTGACCAGTCCTTGTTTTCACACGTTGTTATTATTGTCTTTGTTTTAAAACAAAATTATTTTACAGAGCAATGGAATTTATTACAAACATCTTTTAGATTACACTCATTTCATTTATGGGTGTAGTCTTTTCTGTCCCAATTGGTAAGCGATGGCATGTCCTAATAAATAAACAAGAGTTTGCCACTAACGTGGCTATATCCCCCGCCCCTGTTGCAGAATTTATGACATAATTAAATCTAAACAAACCCTAACCTTTTTTAACCGAGGTGGAACTTGTCATGGAAATTGTAAAAAAAAAGAAGAGAACTGAACCAATTTTTTATAACCCTAATATCAAAATTAAAATGGGCTGAAGCACATTTTATGTAACAGGTACTTCTTGTAAAGTCTGCTGCACATTTCATTTTTATTTCCATTTTCAAAGTTAAAAAAATAATCCTAATGCTTAAAAAAAATGCGATTCAATATAGCATGCAGTTACTTCCCATTACATGCGTACTGCTTTACTGCGCATCTCGTGTTATGGTCATGGCAACAATAGGAGTTTGTATGCTTGTTTATGTAGGGAGGCACTTTACCAGGTTGATGGTACAAAACTGTTTATTTGGTCACATAAAGGTTTGAACAAGCAAAAAAACAACAACAAAAACACACACCTGCCCTATATTTTCAAAAGTCATTGCCCGAGAACCAATTCTTTAATTTTTTTAAGCCTTAAGATTTAATCTTGTTTTTTTTTAAAATGGCAAAGTATTATAGACAAGCTCAGGGCTTTTGGTGTGGGCGAGAGGCTATTGTGAGGTGGCAGGTGTAATGCACAAGGCTGCTCACCTTCTTGGAGGCCAGAAGTGACGTGAGGAGGCACAGGTGCGGAGTCCAGAACAGCTTCAGCCTCATGATCATGATGGCCATCGTGGCGAAGGCAATTTGTTGGAACAGGTGGTACACCAGCTGGAACATGGAGGGAAACATGGCCAGGATTTAGGTTAGGTTAGGTTTGTTGTTTAACACCGCACTCAGCAATATTCCAGCTATTTGACGGCGGTCTGTAAATAATCGAGTCTGGACCAGACAATCCAGTGATCGATATCATGAGCATCGATCCATGCAATTAGGATCGATGACATGCATCAACCAAGTCAGCAAGTCTGACCACCCGATCCCGTTAGTCGCCTCTTACGACAAGCATAGTCACCTTTTCAGGCAAGCATGTGTTGCTGAAGATCTATTCTACCCCGGATCTTCATGGATCTGGCCAGGATTTATCAAGGATTATAACTATTGCTGTTTGTTTGAAGTTTAATGCTGCACTCAGCAATATTCCAGCTATGTAATCAAACGAATCTGGACCAGACATAATCCAGTGATTGACATCATGAACAAAGATCAAGGACGTCACGCTATCAACCAAGTCTGCCATCCAATCCATTTGGTTGCCTCTTACGATTTCAGAGGCATCTTAACATTCCATATTTGAATTACAATTTGGAATTTTTTTACAAAATGTTCCTTTAATCTCGGTCCTGTCGTGGAATGTGGGTGCCTGGGAATGTTGTATACAGGACAGTATCCGGGGTATGACCCTGTAGTTAGAGTTCTTACAACGAGCATTTCAGCAATATTTGAGTTCTATTAACCGTGAAAAGTGAACTCACCTCTGCATCAGGTCTGTTCCTTCTGAAATAAAAATAAATAAATCACAACTTAAGTTTTACGACTGTGGCAAGTAATGAGTTATGTTCCTAGAAAAACAACTAGAGAATACTGTAAATCGTGAAATTAATGTGTCTCCAAAAGAATGCAACCACTGGTCCCTTGCAAAAAATGTGACTCAATATGAATACGACACCCCCCTCCTCTCAAGCATCAGTGGATTTATATCTAAAGAAAATGTCCTCAGTCAGGTTTACAGGAGAATCCTCACCTTAATCCAACCTTACATTAATTCAATCACACTCGAAAAAAGCACCGCTTATTAGCGCTGAGTAGAGTACTTCTGATAAAACAATACATGCGCACTGGCTCGTGTCGGCCTTTGACGCAGTCGCAAAGAACAAAGACACCATGTTGGGTGGGTGGCGTCTGTCTGGACTTGCAGGTGTGATCAGTGATGACGTAAGTGAATAGAACTCTTGTCTTGACCCCAGCAGTGACAATTCTCAGGTTGTAATTAGTGTTTGAATGACATTGTTTATATACTTCTTACAATAAACAGTGGTGTGGAATACATAGTTGTTTGTTTTCAGCGTATGTCTAAGTTGGTATTTCTGCTAAAATGTCTTATTGTTGATATAAATGCGATGTTTAATAATATGAGCAAATACCACTCGGATTTTTCGCATTCAATTCACGCTCGCATCTATTTCAAGATTTACAGTAGTATACATGTATATAGAATATAGTAAAATGATGGCAGAGGAAAAGATCAAGTCAATTTTTTTTCCAAATACAGGTTTGAATATTTCCTAATTTAAGACACTTGAAGGAAAAGTCCTACAGTGTAATGGTCCATATAGATCCATGGATCATTTTCTAAAGATATGTCAGAAAATGAATTCTATTCTTCAGAGAGATCGGTACTCAAAGAAAGAATTCAAATATGAGAGTAAGCTTTCTTGCCCAGGTTTGGTTCATTTTAGAGTGTTTAATAGACAGTAGACATGGCTCTATGTTCTAGAAATATCAGTATTGTAAAATATGTGTTTTAAAGGTCGTATTGATCTAGAAAAAAACGAGAACTGTGCATAAACAAACAACACTGCTAAAATTTCATTAGCCAGTTGGGCCAGTGACATTTCAGAATCTATAGCCGACCAAACTTTTGCCATTTGGCACACTGATACCTACCCCTGACTCTCTGCAGTGTTGGCATGCACAGCAGAGCCGTTAGCCACAACCGGGTTCTTCCACTGAGAGTATTCAGATTTTAATATCTGGAACAAATCAAATATTGGTTGTGATCCCAGAAATGTAAAGCTGAGTGAGATAGTGAGTGAGTGAGTTGGGTTTTACGCCGCTTTTAGCAATATTCTAGCAATATCACGGCGGGGGACACCAGATTTGGGCTTCACACATTGTACCCATGTCGGGAATTGAACCCGGGTCTTTGGCGTGACGAGCAAACGCTTTAACCACTAGGCTACCCGACCGCTCCCCATGCCAGTATGAACTGTGTAGTATTTCAAATACATCACAGATGTAAACCAACTAATATTCCGTTGAATGCCCACCCACATGCCGACTTTATAGTGCCAGCCCACTTAGATACCATGCCGCAGTTTAACATGAATACCCCATTCAGACACAGTATACTGATTCCAAGCCGACTGGTCCTTGTTTTAGCCAGGCAGGGTAACAACAAGTACCACTTTTTAAAGTCTTTAGGTATGACACGACCGGGGATCGAACCCCAGACCTTCTGCCCTCCAGGCAGATGCTCTACCACTAGACCACAGAGGCAGTAGAAACTGCATTATGTTCATATCAGTTAGTGTGACAGCATGGTGCATCAGTAAATCACTTCAGCCTCAGGAGACAGTGGGTAAGCAAGTGGATCAGGCATTCCATGTTGTTCCATCATTGACGATGTCATCCCCAAGATGTTTGTTTGTTTGTTGTTTAATGACACACTCAGCAATATTCCAGCTATTTGACGGCGGTCTGTAAATAATCGAGTCTGGACCAGACAATCCAGTGATTTATATCATGAGCATTGATCCACGCAATTGGGATACGAGGTGACATGCATCAACCAAGTCAACAGGCATGCCCACGCAATCCTATTAGTCGCCTCTTACGACTAGCATAGTCGCCTCTTGTGGCAAGCATGGGTTGCTGAACATGCTGAAGACCGAATCTTCACAGGTATGATCCCCTAGACTTTCATTTGCAACTGGCAGTGTTACAGTTCCGTACTGAGAGATTATCAGTAATGCTCACAATGAAAACACTAATGTGTATTGTAAACACCAACGTATCAGGGCCAGACAATCCAGTGATTAATATTTTGAACAATGAACGACGTCATCAGTGTACGATGACCCACTATCACCCAAGCCTGCATATCCAATCCATTGGTCGCCTCTTACGACTACCATAGGTATCTTGGGATTGCAAACACCATAGTATCTGCACCAGACAATCCAGTGATTGATATTGTGAACAACGAACGATGTCGTCAGGGTACGATGACACGCTATCACCCAAGCCTGCCAATATCCAATCCATTGGTCGCCTCTTACGACTAGCATAGGTATCTGGGGATTGTAACACCAAGCCTATTGATGCAGTGGTTGACTTACAAAGAACACAGCTGTGACAAATACGACCATGGAACAAGGCAGCAGTAGGGTCCACATAAACTTCCATATTGTCTGAAACAGATTTGAATAAGTTGCCAATATTCCTACACAACAAGTTTCTGTGTCGTAGCTTGTTATCATAATTGTCACATAGAATTATTTCATGAAAATCAAGCCTTTGAAACTTCGGTACTTGACTGAAACCGTCCACATCAACTAATGTACTGATAAGCAACACATAGTTACAGTGTAATGTGATGATGTATATTTGTAAGCAACGATAGAAACTAGCATGTTTAGTCTACTACTAATTATAATAACATATAGAAAAACCCTTAAAAATGGCGCATTTCTACTAGTCCTTGTGATAGCTATGGGGCAGACTGGCAAGGACTACAGGACTACCGCCAATTTCTATCGCTGTGTAAGTGTTCCTGGCAGTAATCTTCATGAATGGGGAGTTTCCATATTAACGGGGTTCACTGTTATATAACCAGAAGTTATCTCTTAATCTCATAAATGATCTCTTAATCTTTAAAATGATCTCTTCATCTTTAAAATGATCTCTTAATCTTTAAAATGATCTCTTCATCTTTAAAATGATCTCTTCATCTCTTAAATGATTTCTTAATCTTTTAAATGATCTCTTAATCTTCAAAATGATCTCATCTTTTAAATGATCTCTTCATCTTCAAAATGATCTCTTCATCTTCAAAATGATCTCTTCATCTTTAAAATGATCTCTTCTTTTCTTAAATGATCTCTTAATCTTTTAAATGATCCCTTCGACTTTCAAATGATCTCTCAATCTTTTAAATGATCTCTTAATCTATTAAATCGTCTCTTAATCTCATAAAGGATCTCTTAACGTCTTCAGTGATGCAGATTGAAACAACTAAATCAGTATACTCACTATTTCTTCAATGAAATCAAATTCCTTGGCACAAGTATACAACATGGTGTGGAAGTTTTTAAAGTCAGAAAACTTGCTTCTGAAGATTTCCCCTATGTGAGCCTGGAAATAACACAGAGAAAGAGTTAGGGATAAAGTCACCTTATGTCATTTTGATTAAAACATTGCTGAATTAGGCACTTTCTTGAAACTGACAGTGGTCATCTTCCCAAGGCAACAGAGTTAACTGACTATAAAAGTCCAGTTTCCACCCTTGCCAACCATGCCAACTAGGCTGGTATTATGGAGTTACATTTTGGCTGGACTAACAAGTTTATGCATAGTCCAATCAAAATCGCGCACCGAAATCGAAATACGGTTCGTAAACTGTCGTGCAGATTTTGGTTGATTGCAGGATTTGCAAAGCATGTGCACCGCCAACTCGTCAACAGTTATTTTCCAAATCTTTTCATGTTTTGAATCAAGGTGCATTTCGCGATGTAAGACCCGCTTTATCACAATATAGATCTTGATTATCGATCAGATCGTCATGACTGGGCGCCACCATTTTGGGTGAAGCAAACGCAAGTGATACGAGAGGTGGAATCTCATTGGTCCACAGGAGAGGCTTAGAGGGGACATAAATGGTAATAGCCACTGGTGGCGCTACGATCGAGCCCAGTAATTCCTGCCTAGTTCGGCAAGGGTGGAAACTGGACTTTTAAATTCAGTGAACTCTCTTGCCTCGGGAAGATGGACAGTGGTAAGTTATGATAATTCTATTTTAATTTGAATGTTATTGCAAAGGTGAGTCAACACAGGATTTATGAGAAAAAAAGCTAAAAAATGATAAATGACTGACAAGTTAACAAAAATGGATTTTTTTAAAAAAATTCAAAATTTGGACAAAACATTTTCTTCCCATCAATACTTGCCATGGACATTCACTTGAAAATAATAAATTAATTCCTGTGGTAGTTTTGAGGTGAGGAGGGTGAGAATGACCTTTAGGTCATAACTTTATTCTGGCCGAAAGTAGATGAAGAAAACCGGGCATGGTGCCTGAACATGTGTTTTGCACCTCAACTGATATTTCCTTCAGTCTGTGATGAACCGAAAAACTATCTTTTCTCAACAGAACTTAAAAGCACCTCGAAACAGGAGTAAACAGTCGAAAAACAGAAGCAGGACTTGAAGGTTTGAATGTGGGAGAGTCCATGTTGTGCATTGATTACACATAGAACAGAAGCTCCACGTGCACCGCATCACAAAATGTCCTCGGAAGGACGTACCAAATTCCTTGGTAGGTCAGGGTCAAAACAACAATAGCGTGACGTCATGTCGTTGGTTTAAATTACAAATGACAACTCATCACTACAGGGGATACAATCACGTACATCATCAGCAATATTCAGCAGCTTTCCGACCACTATTTTACTGCAGACTGTTCCGATTGCCAAGAGTATACTTTGCACAGCCTGAAACACAACGGGGATACTTTACCGACATTGATAAAACAGAGTAACACCATGTTGACAGATAAAATAGGATTGAGATTCAAGCTTTATAGATGTGACCATGCACAGATCGTATCACGCTACAGTCTCAGATAGGGAAACACTGCTAAATTTATCATTCACCTTCCAAGTTGACGTTCAGTTTTCTCGTGCAAATGTAATGTGCAACATAATCTCGAATAAAGGTTCAAAACTAGAGGTAGTTGCAGGTACAGTAAAGTACGGTTATAACGAACTCAAAGGGACTACTAATTTTAGTTCGTTATAACTGTAGTTCGTTATAAGCATATATACAGCATAACTACAGCAAATAGTCGGGACCAAAAAAGTTGTAGAATTTTCCTATTCGGAATATTCTATAAGTAATATGTTACCACTGTTATACCGAGGCTGTTGTCTCCCACAACTGCTGCTATAGCGAAATCTACCACAGAGATCTCAATTACCTCATGCAGCACGTGCGTAGCCACCTAGCTGCCATGTGACACCCTTCACTCTTGTCTCTTGCGAGAGCAAGTGCTCGGAGGACGGACGGGCGGGCAGCAGCCCAGTGGTAACGTATTACTTATAGAATATTCCGAATAGGAAAATTCTACAAATTACATTAAGTAATACGTTACCACTGTTATACCGAGGCTGACTACCACAGTAGGCAGTGGGGAGCACCTACAACCCGAATCCTGACTGCTAGCGTTCCTTCCGACCAGCGGAAGTAAACACCAAGGCGGAAGCACTCGATGCGCATGCACCTAGCTAGGCGTTACCCTATAGGAATACCAAAGCACTGTCAAGCGCATACCGTAAGGCTCAATCGTCATTGCCAAAACGATTGGTGACTCCAAACGGCCCCACTGGATAGGTATTTCATCACCGCAGCGGATGAGAACACTGTATCCGCGTGAGCTTAATCTTAGATCAGGTTAAACAGTCGAAAAGAGGGAAATTAATTTCATTCAGACCGTATATCCCAGAGCAAGCCTACTTAAAGTATGCATTAGGCGCGTGACCTAATTCCAGTATTTGTAAGCATGCATCACAAGGTTGGGATACACGACAGACAATTAAATACATAATTGTCAAAATACAAATAAGGACAAAGCACACAAAAAGCCGCCCTCACCTGTGGTGTGAGTGCGCTGGTTTGCGGGACCCCAACTCCTGTACCCACGGCAGTGGGAACATTGGAGTCGACCCAGATTGACCACCGTGCAATGTCTGACGCCTGAGGAGTTCGGAATTGCGCTGGGCACACCCCTTAGGTGCCCGCTTGCGCCGTGATCCGCGGGCCAAGACGGTGCACACTCTCCACGACGGCATCAGCGACCTGTTTGAGGTAATGATTGGCAAAAACCGAGTCAGAACGCCAGTAACAACCTCGTAATATTCTGCGAACAGAGATATACAAGTGTAGGGCAAATGTTGCCGCTAGCGCCCTGATCTCGTGCGGGTTTGACCCCGCTACCGGTAACTCCCGAGACCGGTACGCCAGATTGATGACCGAACGAAGCCACAACGCAATCGAGTTGCGAGTTATGTCAACCGTGCGATTAGGGTTACACGATATGAACAGACGGTCACGCCCTTGTCTACGTTCATTCGAAGCCTTAAGATAATACTTAAGGGCCCTAACCGGACACAGCGCTCTGTCCTCAGTATCAGCAGGATGTAAGATTTCTTTGAGTGATCTTACAGTGAATTCTCTCTCCGTTTGCCCAACTCTCTGATTCTTGGCGACGAAGCCCATTAGCAGGCCCAGGCGGACCGCTCCTTCGTCTCCCCTATCGAATCGTACCTTGGCGACATCGAGTGCATGAATTTCGGATACACGTGCCGCCGTGGCAAAGGAGAGGAGAAATGCTGTTTTCCAAGTCACATGCCGGAACGAAGCACTATGCAAGGGTTCATACGGAGCTTCCGTAAGTGATTGCAACACTAGGGAAAGATCCCAGGCCGGTGCCGCGTTGCGAACAGGTCGACCATCGGACGACCCAAACGTTTGCACAGCCACTGAAACACTACTGGGTTCAGCATCCACTCTGTGGGGCTCGGATCCTGAGGCCTTGATAGAGCATCGGCCAGTACGTTCCGCACACCTGGGATGTGACGGGCGCGTATCTGGCACGGGACACTGTCCACCAGAGCATAAAACTCGAACGTGAGATCGAGTAGCGAGTGACTGAGGGTTCCCCCCAGTTTGTTCACATAGGACACTACCGTCGTGTTGTCGGTCGCCAGCATGAGCCGGGCGTCGACGAGACGATGCTTCCAGTGATTGACTGTGTTGATCACTGCCTTGAACTCGAGACAATTGATGTGAAGACCTAGTTCGTATACCCACCACAGCCCCGAGCTCACCTCCCCCTCTAGATGGGCGCCCCAGCCCACTAGAGAGGCGTCTGTATACAGGTTCAACGTGGCCCGGTAGGGCCGCATAGAGACTCCTGATAAGACATTGTAAGGGACCGTCCACCACTCCAGATGCGGTCGGAGCCGATCCGGGAGGGCGACGGTCGCACTGTTCACCTCCGTTGCTAACAACTGGATTAAAAACCGTTGCAGCGGGCGGAGTTGGAGACGACCCCGTTCGGTGCAGTCCTGGGCTGATACAAGTAGCCCTAACAGCTGTTCCCAAAAGTGAACAGTCTGTTGCACCGCTAAGACTTTGGCAATCATCGCCTGAAACTTGTGCCACCGGTCTGGGGGGACAAAGAGGCGATGGGACACCGTGTTGAACCGACCTCCGATGAACAGCAAGTTCTGAGAAGGGGTTAACTCGCTCTTGGGGAGATTGATAATCCACCCCAATTGCTCCAAGAGCCGACGTGCGAAAACGAGATGGCGTGACAGGGTGTCCGTCATTCGATTTGCTACTAGCGAGTCGTCCAGGTACGCGAAGTACCGGACACCCCTCCTGTGGAGGAACCCCACTATGTGCCGAGAGTCCTCAGCAACGTACTCCAGGGAAGCATTTACAACTGCCTGCTCAGTTTAAATGCTTCCCTGGAGTACGTTGCTGAGGAGCGAGGGCGTCCAGCGGGGGTGGAGGACGGCGAAACATCCATGTCAGACATTTTGTTTGTACTATGAACAAAGAGCAAAACATGGTTACAACACGCACCACAAATAGTCACAAACGAGTATTTTCACAAGAAAATAAACGAGCAATGGGAATATAGAACATACACATATAACATATAGAGGAATAAGTGATGTAAAAACCCCAAGATATACTAGAACAGGGGAACGTAAGAGGCAACGTGCATACGAGACACCCCGCAAGTATATAGTAAAAAAGGGCGGGAAAAATATTTCCTTTTTTGCGGGAAAAATATTTCCAAGCATAGTTACAGCAAACGCCCCGTAAAAGCACAGTTTATTAGAGAGAATAAACAGTAATAAATATCACCGAATGGTCGGAGAAACAGGAACGCTTGAGCAGTTTATTGTACTTCTTGCTAGAGCAAGCGAAGAGACAAGAGTGAAGGGTGTCACATGGCAGCTAGGTGGCTACGCACGTGCTGCATGATGTAATTGAGATCTCTGTGGTAGATTTCGCTATAGCAGCAGTTGTGGGAGACAACAGCCTCGGTATAACAGTGGTAACATATTACTTAATGTAATTAAGTTTGTTATATCCGTAAGTTCGTTATATGCGTGTTCGTTATTACCATAGTTTACTGTACTTTTAATTTTTCAGCTTCACTGCTTAAGCCCCAACAATCATAACATACCACCATGCACTATATGTCTCATTACTTCCAGTTTGGGGAACTAACATATACTACACAAAAAGCCCAACCCTCTAAGCGTGTGTGTTTATTGATTAATGCCGCACTCAGCAATATTACAGCCCTATGACGACAGGCTGTAATTAATCAAATCATTACAAACAAACTTTGGCTGGGTTCCACATTACCTACCATAATGATGATCTTAAAATGTAGTTTATCTAGGACTGGACGAAGGAATAGAATGATCTGAAAACGAGAGAAGATATTTCAGCCTGCTTCTCACAATTACATCATCATCATCATCATCATCATCATCATCATCACAGGAGTTATTATAATTATTGTTATAATAGCAAAAAAAAGGATAATAATAATAATAATCATAATCATCATCAGTGGTTATTGTAATAATAATAATTGTTATAACAATAATAATAAAAATAAAATAATAATAATAAAAGAGAGGTTGATAATAACAATCATCATCATCATTGCCAGTCATCGTCATCATCATCATCATCATCATCATCATCATCATCATCATCATCTCCCTCTAGTAGTACCTACCCACATGGAGATCAGACAGGATGCATAGAATGATGTCAGCAGCATCTCATTGCCGAACAGCAGCACATAACTGATGGCCAGGCCCAGCTGGAACAACAAACAACAGGGTAGGGAGGGAGGGAGTGCATTGAGTGTCATGTCTAATTTTGGAATATTCCAGCCATTACACGGAGGGAGACACTTGAAACAGGCATAATGAGCGTATGTTGTTGCTTGTTTGTTGTCTAACACCGCACTCAGCAATATTCAAGCTGATGGACGTCGGTCTGTAAATAAACGAGTCTGGACCAGACAATCTAGTGATTGACATCATGAGCATCAATCTAGCCAATTGGGATACCATGACATGCATGCATTAACCAAGTCATTGAGCCTAACCACCTGATCCCGTTAATCGCCTCTTATGACAAGCATACTTGCCTCTTACGGCAAGCATTGGCTGCTGAAGACCTATTCTCTACCCGGATCTTCATGGGTTGATGAGCCAATGCGGTTACCACATAGCTATCCTACAGGACTGACTAGCTTCCCATACATGGGGGTATGGACGAGACTGGGATTATGAATAATTAAATATTTCTGTAATTGTATGACTGAGAAATTGATAAGACCGAGCCTCAGTCCAGTAAAATACTGAGTCTAGTAAGCTCTGCTTATTATACTGGTAGTCCATAAAATAACACTAAAATCTGAAAATGGTGCTTTAGAGCCAATTTCAGGCGAGTAGACTAAAAGGTTATTGGCACAAAGTGGTAGATATTCTACCCACGTCAGAGAAAAGCAGTGTTTCCGACTTACTGACTGTCCAGAGAGGATGACTTTGAGCTTCCTGTCATCGATGTACTGCAGGACGTATGTTCCCATCACTGACATGGCCTGGGTCAGCAGGGCGAACTGGGCAAACTGGGACAAGAGAGGGACACGTCAGCAACAAAACACCCCATTTTATCATATAATGGATAGTCTTACATTGGTACCATGATTTGATAAATATGCAAATGAGGTTGCCCATCAGGAACTATTTTCAAGCTCAATACATAGATGCAAAGCCTTCTTTCCCATAAACTGTTGACTAATGTTTCCAAAATGCTAAGATAGGGGTTTTCCAATTTGTTGCTGTGTTTCTGTAGATTAAAATAGCTGCAGCTCATTTGGTACTACATGATAAATTGGGCGGTTCACTCAAACACTGTATTCATACGCGGTTTCTGAAGCAACTTCATTAAGTAAAATTACATCTTAATCATCTATCATTTTAAGAATGACATCATGTTATAGAGAGATTAATACCCTTGTGTATTAAAATATCATAAATAAGAAGAAAAACTATGTATTATCAGAGCTCCAGATAAGCTGCGTATCTGCGTGAAATACGCATCAGAAATGCAGATACATGTATACGCAGTAAAATATAATCCAAGCGTATCAAATACGCAACGAACATAACAGATACGCTACAAAAATAAAATTTGTGCGTATCATCAAAATATTGTGAAGTAACCCTGCGTATTCGATTAGCAAATCAGCAACTTATTTTGAAATTATAAACGGGCATTCCGTCAACCTAGCCAAACTCCACGATGACAGTCACATCATGATCATTTGCCATCACACTTTCGTGTGGAAGTATCGTGGTATTTTTTAGTCCTATAAAGCTCTCAAACCCACCCGACACCAGTTTGCAGCGACTAGATGAATAGTGTTTTTAAATATTTAACTTAAATACCCACATATGTAAAAACTAGTGGGTAACAGAAATTTGAATACACAGATAGAATTACTGATACCCAATGATTTTAAAATGCATGGGTAAAATACCCACAACACCAAAAGCTTATCTGGAGCTCTGTATTATGCTTACCAATGGCTCGCATTTCTAATATATGATTTTATCATACAGAGACACACTCTAACCTGGAAGTGGAATCCCCAAGAGGGAGTGTTCTTGTTTAGTATATATACTCACTAATAGACAAACAGTCCCTGCATATTATTTAAGAAATAAATGACGAGTAGGGGTTGTTTATCATACAATAAAACACAGCAAGAAGAATAAACCAATGTTTTACCATGAAATAAACCATGCTTCGTTCTTCATTGTTCTTTGCGATTTATTAACATAGCTATCTTATATAAGATGTTTAAATTTTCCACTTTAACATTATCATAATTATCTTAATAATCTCTCTAAAGCAGATAAAAGCTCACCTGCCACGGCAGCATGAAGCACACAGAGGCAAGGGCTATAGCCACGCTGTGGTAGATGTTTGGGGACTTGCACCTGGAAACACAAAACATCACTTGCTACACTGACTACAAGACACTAGGGCTGGCTATCGATACAGATCATAGAGTTAGTTGGGTGGTTGGTTGTTTAACGCCGCACTTAGCAATATACCAGCTATATGATGGTGGTCTGTAAATAATCGAGTCTGGACCAGACAATCCAGTGCTTAATATCATGATCATCGATCCACACAATTGGGATCGATGACATGCATCAACCAAGTCAGTGAGCCTGACCACCTGATCCTGTTAGTCGCCTTTTATGACAAGCATAGTCACCCTTTACGGCAAGCATGGGTTGATGAAGACCTATTCTATTCCGGAATCGTCACAGGTCACTGATCATAGACAGTGATAATCGTTAACTAAATATCGATCAATGATTGATAAATATCGGTGAAGCAACTAGGAGCAAAAACACACAAAAATTCCAAAAGAAATCAACATATTTCATTCCACTGGTGAGTGGTGGCACATTTATGCAGGGATTACTTTGTGGACATATGAGATACAATGTATAACAAAAACAGTAACTTTCCATCTTCATCAATTGACATAATTGAAAATAACAAGTCTGTTTTGATAAATCAAAACATTATTTCATGACAATAGTTCATGTAAGATATTATCGATGACACAATTTTCATATTGTAATTGTTAATATTTCTTCGCATCGACAATAATTCTGATTATTGATCTTTTTTTTCCAGCCCTACAACTGGTAGGGATATAAATTTATGATTTTTAACTGAGCCCTTTAGGCAAGTAAGTTATCATAAATGTGCTATTTTAATTTTAATAGTACCATTGACACTGTAATACAGAGATGGACACTATCACTCGCCCACTGGCCCAGACCTCTTTTGTTAATTTTAAAGGTACCCTATAGGCTTGTAGAATTTTTAATGGATGTTTATTGCTATTTGTTCGCACTATTCAGACTAGCAGACATTCTTGGATCATATCAATCACAGTACCGTATTCGACGTAATAAGCGCCCCGCTCTAATAAGTGCCGACGGCGATATTTGCTAATATACTGGCTAGTGAACAATCCCAATTAGCACCCCTTCCGGCTGATAAATGTACACAAGGCTATTTATTCGGGCATAATACGTTTGTTAAATGCACCCTTAATTATTGGCAATTAAATTCTGGAAAATATATCTGTCGTATATTAACATTTCAGCAAAATCCAGGAAATTTACGCTCTTTGAACTCTGTTGTTTTTTCACCAAAATAATATTCTAATAAGAGCCCCCTATTTCTAATTTTGAGAGCGCCCTGGGTGCTTATAATGTCGAATACGGTAATTTCAAACACTGATTGGCACTGTTCATTTTCACCATTCTGAATTACCATGGAATAGCAGTGGTGGAAATTAAAAGGTGTACAACACAGAAAATAGTTGTCAGATTGTGGAGCATTGTCTCTGTTTAATTTGTTTTAAATGTGAGTGAGTGACCCTGCAAATCATTAGATGGACTGACTGTCAAACGTGAGAAGGATATGTATACACATTACATACCTCAGTGTAAATGTAACCAGCAGCATCTGGAACACAAGGAAGGGGTAAGCGAAGCTCTCTCGGAGGGGTGGCGTCCACTGTACTCGGGTGGCCTGGAATAGACACTTAGTATTAGAGACAGCAAGTAGAGAGTTTACTGGTAAATAAATATTACTGGTTGCCAAGGTAGTATCACTAAGAATACCTTCACTTATACCTTTGAATCAACATGACTTCAGCCATTAGTCCAAAGACCGAGTCTAGTAAAATAACTTAGATGTCAGGGTAGTATAGATGTGTATACCATGGATGTCAGGGTAGTTTACATGTGTATACCATGGATGTCAGGGTAGTATAGATGTGTATACCATGGATGTCAGGGTAGTATAGATGTGTATACCATGGATGTCAGGTTAGTTTACATGTGTATACCATGGATGTCAGGGTGGTATAGATGTGTATACCATTGATGTCAGGGTAGTATAGATGTGTATACTATGGATGTCAAGGTAGTATAGATGTGTATACCATGGATGTCAAGGTAGTATAGATGTGTATACCATGGATGGCAGGGTAGTTGACATGTGTATACCATGGATGTCAGGGTAGTATAGATGTGTATACCATGGATGTCAAGGTAGTATAGATGTGTATACCATGGATGCCAGGGTAGTATAAATGTGTATACCATGGATGTCAGGGTAGTATACATGTGTATACCATGATGTCAGGGTAGTATGGATGTGTATACCATGGATGTCAGGATAGTATAGATGTGTATACCATGGATGTCAGGATAGTATAGATGTGTATACCATGGATGTCAGGGTAGTATAGATGTGTATACCATGGATGTCAGGGTAGTATAGATGTCCATACCATGGATGGCAGGGTAGTATACATGTGTATACCATGGATGGCAGGGTAGTATAGATGTGTAGGGTAGTATACATGTGTATACCATGGGTGCATATCCTACCTCTCCATGGTTGAAGAAGTAGCAGGCCACAGTGAGGATACCACCAATCATCCTGTCACTGCAACACAAGGAAAACAATGTCATTACCCATCATGGTAAATAAATGTTTGATACTCATACATGTAGCTCAAGTATTTTGGGGGGTTGGTATTGGATTAGGTGCCTCACTCTGACAGTGTGGGTTTGAATACCCCCAAAAGTACTAGAATCTGAACTTTACTAAGAAAGAGTTATCCCAAATATAACATTTGTTACATTTGACCACTTTCTAAATGGCATTATGTGATCATATATGACGGTGGTCTGTAAATAATGGAGTCTGGACCAGAAAATACAGTGATTGACATCATGAGCATCAATCTACTCAATTGGGATCCCGTTAGTTGCCTCTTACAATAAGAATGGGTTGCTGAAGACTTGGATCTTCATAGGGTTAGTGTTGTTTAATGGCACTGGCAGCAATACTCAATCTATAGGTTTGAGACCTGTAATAAATGAGTCTGGTCCAGACGATCCAGTGATTGATATTATAAGAAATGATCCATGCTGTATCAATTAAGTCGCCTGTTTTGTTGTTGTTGTTTGATGCCGCACTCAGCAATATTCTAGCTGTATGACAGTAAATAATCAAATCAGGACAAGACAATCTAGTGATTGATATCATGAGCATCAATCTACGCAATTGCGATACAATGACATTCACCAACCAAAGCAGCGAGTCTGACCACCTGATCCTGTTAGTCGCTAGGGATCAATTCTAACCCAGAATAACCATTGGTTGCCAATTTAGCGCCCTATTACGATTAGCAATGGGGTACTAAGGAGTTTTTGTACCCTTGAGTCCACATGGGGATCGGCCACAAAAAGTCTATCTCACCTGAGGTACGTCCCGAAGAGGAAGAAGATGCCCATCATTATACCATTGAGAGCGAAGGCTGATTCCACATAGAAGTAAGATGGTTCACCCATGCCTACAGCAAGAAGTGACATGGACACAGTTAGAAATAAACTTTGTTGCTTTTTTCTTATTTTGTATAAGCATTTCTGTGGTAGCATGTATGGGAAGTGATTCGTATGGAGTGAAAGAAAGGACTAAGTTAACATTGTATTGTGAGTGAGTAGTTGGGAGTTGGGTTTAACACCAATTTGAACAGTGTTCCAGTTATCATGGTTATAAGACGGCGTGTCGAAGTGATGCACGTTTCAGATGTTTACCACTCTGGTGAAACCCACATGCTGGTATTGTGCTGACAAACCTAGAAACATAGTCAGGGTGAACTGGGAATCGAAATCACAATGATAGGTGTCTGGCATGCCCCAGGGACACAGTGAAGTGATATTACATGACTGAGATACTGACACGAACCAGGCTACAGATAAGAAGCACCTGCTAGCTTACTGAAGGAAGTTCCCAACTACAATGATATCGGCTGGTATGTAATTAGAGTTTTTAACTTTTCTGAGATAGGTATACTACCTTATTTTCTTGAGTATAGTGCGCACCCGAGTATAATGCGCACCCCCCTCTAGCGGATTCAGTATTTAGGGAAAAAAAAAAATGAATATTATGCGCCGAAAAGATTACACAGTACTTAACAATCTAGATGATTTAATCTAACTTTCTAATTGAATAAAGAAGGAAAAAAGTGTTTAGTCTATTGCTCTGGGTGCATGTTGTGACTACATGGCCAAATTAACACTTTACTATTGAGGCATTGAAAAATCACTCCCCATTGTAATAGATTTGCATGAAAGTATAATTAATAGTATTTAACATGTTTAACGATCTTAACCACACAACAATAAATGTTCATCAGAAAAAAAACATTCTCCATTCACACTAGTAGAAGTTCAAGAACAAACATTTTCTTTCATCTGACAACAGTTAATCCATCATGGCTGGTGGGTATTGCAACACACAGCCGTCCAATTCTGGGTGTTCCTTAACTTCTTTTGAGTAGTATCTGTCTGTGTGCTCCTTTTTATTGGAAATGGACTCATTTACATATTTCCTGTAACGTGCAGCAACAATACATTTATGTCAAAGGAACATTGGGGTGCTACTCTCATTCACTTCGAGGAGCAGTAAGTAACCCGTCGCCTGTCAAGCAAAATGACTTTCAAAATATGTAATGTCATAACTTGGCAATTTGACTTTTTGTCTAAGATTGCTGGGAACAGAATTCATAACCGAGATAGGCTGATAAACAACTCCCGATTCATGACAGTTGAGCAGTGAACACAAAATCCTACTAGCAGACATCTTAAAGGTAAAGTTAGACAAGTTCTATGGATGAACAACTTCTTTATTTACAATTAGTGCGACGTTTCGGTGTAGATCCTAACACCTTTATCAAGCAAGGGATCATGCAGGGGAGGAGGAATTTCTTATTTGTCATAATCTGCTGACATGATATCAATGTTGTAATCAGGAAAGTTCTGACAACAGTGAGTTACATCACATCCCCTGCGTGTCTACTCTTTTGAACCACAAGGTGGCGATACACTCACCTTCACAGCTCTGGACAGGAGTCTTCCCTTCTCCTCGGTTCACCTGCCAACACATCTTGGTTTGACGATTCAGACGCGCGTTAACATCTTCGTATATACGATAGCCGATACTGAGAGCAACCTGTGAAAACATGAAATGTGAACTGATGCGACATCACAATTACGGTCTACTTACTTAGAGCTAGATTCATGAATTGCCTGTTCTTTCATTTAGTGATTTTTGAGTTGGTGAGTGAGAGTGATTTTATGCCATTTTTAGCAATATTCCAGCAATATCACAGCGGGGTACACTGGGCTTTACAGAAAGTACCATGTGGAGAATTGAACCCATGACTTCGACGAGCGAATTCTCTAACCAGTTGGCTATCCTGCCACCCCCGGGATTTGGGAGAAGACTATAATCATATGAAAAGGAAGAAAATGAAACAGAAAAATAGATGTTGAACCCAATTAAATACTACAGATTAAGCTGTCGATACTGTTTGGAATATGCATGTGTAGCTAAGATTCATCCTGCAGTTTCCTATATAAAGTTAGTGAGTGAGTTGGGTTTAACGCTGCTTTTAACAGTATTATCATTATATCACGGCGTGTCAGCTTAATGTGGGAGGAAAGCCCGAAGTGATGCAGGTCTCAGATGTTTACCACTTCGGTGAAACCTATGAGCACGGGTATGGTGCTGACAAACCTAGAAACATACTTGGGGTGAACCGGGATTCGAACCCACAATCATAGGTTTCTGGCGTGCCCAATCGCGGCGCCTTAGACAACTGGGCCAGTTTCCTACATAAACATATTTACAAATGACATGTGAATAGATATACACCATTCAACATTTGACAGGAATACTGAGGTATTTCATACTGTGACGTAACTCGACTCGACGACGACAACTTTTTGCCGATGAATTCATGTTTAATCAACTTAGAATGAAGCTGCAGATGTTTCAGTTCCTTGGCAAATTTGAATTCTATTCGTCTGATAACATGTCTTGCAATGAGTCATATTCAGGCCCCACCTAGATACTCCCTATCCCTATCAAAATTGAGTAGAGAACTTACCTCCGGGTACAAGTTAAATCTTTTGAGGACATTGATGGTCTGAGGATACTCTGTGACGTTGTCGTACATGATTTGATTGAGACCTTCCATGAATGATGGCGCGTGGATCAACGTCTTGAAGTAGGAGTAGTACAGGCCCTGAAGTACAGAAGCACACCATGGTTCAGTCCAACCTAAGACCAGTCTAACAAAACAGTAGTAGCTCTACACCTATTGTAAAGTCATGAGTTATGACAATCACAGCACTGCAACTACTTTGTGGAAACACTTAACAGTGGGTGGGTGCGTGGGTGGGTGCGTGGGTGGGTGCGTGGGTGGGTGCGTGCGTGCGTGCGTGCGTGCGTGCGTGCGTGCGTGCGTGCGTGCGTGCGTGCGTGAGTGAGTGAGTGAGTGAGTGAGTGAGGTTTTACGACTGTTCTAGCAATATACCAGCAATATCATGGCAGGGGACACCAGAAATGGGCTTCACACATTGTACCCATGTCAGCATTTGAACCTGGGTCTTCAGCGTGAAAAGCAACGCTTTAACCACAAGGCTACCCCATCGCCCCAAAAACACTGAACAGATCACTGGGATATAGTAGAAATACTTGAAATCTTTCCTGTTTCAATGGTTTCAGTGTGACATGGTGAGACATTCCTACTTACCAGGGTTAACATGGTTACAATACAACAAAAGTTTCTGAAATCCCTGAGTAATCGTAAGCGTGAGTGAGAGAGTTTATCCCTGCTTTTAACAGATTCCAGATATATCATGGCGAGTCAGCTTGTGGGAGGAAAGCCTTAAGGTTTCAGGTCTCTGATATCCCTAAGACGTCCTGGTTATCATGTTATGTTATGTATGATATAGTACTACACAGTATCAAATTACTGTTGACATCCTTTTGAAGGAAAACAACTAAACACATGCTGAATGTATTAGTAGTGAGACGATACACCGTTGCATTGGTGGATTGGATTTTTTACCTCTCGACTATCACACATTAAGTAAAAACTATCGATTCTTATCTTAAATATATTCTTTAATAAATATTACATTGAACAATAATTACTAGAGAAAACAAGAAGTTAAAAAGTAAATATTTTCATCACTTCGCCACACTTCACACTGCCAACTGTAAATCATTAGTGTGCCAGGTATTTGGCCATCCTGTTGATAAATAAGATGGTTTACAATAGATAAGAGCTGTTGCAAGGTATCGTGATATGTATCGGATCGCAGTTGGCGTATCATCCCAGCCCTAGAATGAATATTGGTGAGAGAAATATCCTTATTAGGCTAGGAAAAATAATAGTCTTGGTTCTCAGGCACCACCCGCATCAGCATAAAGTCCAACGCACGTTTTGTTTTTATTTCCATTTTAAAAAACATAATCCTAATACTTAAAACAATGTGATGCAATAGAGAATGCAATTACTTCCCTTTACATGCGCTCTGCTTTACAACTTCACTGCACATCTCGTGTCATGGTGGCAATAAGAGTTTGTATACCGTATTCGACGTGATAAGCGCCTAGGGCTCTCTCAAAATTAGAAATAGGGGGCTCTTATTAGAATATTATTTTGGTAAGAGAAAAAACAGAGTTGAAAGATAAATTTTGTTGCTTATGCTGACAGCCTGAAATGTTTATATGAGAGATACATTTTTCCAGAATTTGATATAATACGAGAATAAATAAGTGTTGTGTAAATTGATCAATCAGAAGGGGTGCTAATTGGGATTGATCACTAGCCAATATATTAGCAAATATCGCAGTGGGCGCTTATTAGAGCTGGGCGCTTATTACGTCGAATACGGTAACTTGTTTATGGAGACACTTTCCCAGGTTGATGGTGCACAACTGTTTACTTGGTAACATACTAGTTAGAACAAGCCCATAATATATTTTCAAAAGTCATTGCCTGTGAACCAATTACCGTATTCAATGTAATAAGAGGTTCGCTCTAATAACCGCCCAAGGCGATATTTGCTAATATATTGGTTAGTGAACAATCCCAATTAGCACCCCTTCCGATTGATCAATGTACAAAAGATTTATTTATTCGCGTATAATACGCACTCGTGTTTTATTTACACCCTTAATTATGGGCAATTTAATTCTGGAAAACTGGAAAAATATATCTGTCGCATATAAACATTTCAGGCTGTCAGCATAAACCACGAAATTTATCTTTCAACTCTGTTTTTTTCACCAAAATAATATTCTAATAAGAGCCCCCTTTTTCTAATTTTGAGACCGCCCTGAGCACTTATTACGTTGAATACGGTATTTTATTTTTGTTAAGCCTTAAGCATGTTAAGCAGTAGCTCATTCTCTTACCATCTCCGTCCTGAACGCCAGCTCCCTTTCAAGCGTGGACAGATGGGAGAAGTGGCGGTCCTTCTCAAACATGGTGGCAATGTGGTTCCTACAACACAAGATCACAGATGAACACGATAAAAAAGTTTCTGTTTGTTGTTTATCAGTGCAATCTTTAATAATTGAATCTGGTGAGGATAGGTGAAATGGGGTTTAACGTCACGTCCAAGATTATTGCACTTATATAGCGACGTGCATGCACATGTGTGTGTGTGTGGGGGGCTGCTTGTACTAGACGGACTGATCCCAATTTATAGTGCTAGCACAATGAGATACCATGCCGCAGTTAAATATCAATAGTTGAATACCCCACACAGACACAGTATACTGACTCCGAGCCGACCAGTCCTTGTTTTAGCCCCTTAATGCCGAGTGCCAGACAGGGTAACAACAAGTACCATCTTTTAATGTGTTTTGGTATGACGCGGCCGGGGATCGAACCCCGGACCTTCGTTCTCCAGGTGAACACTCTACCACTAGACCACTGAGGCGGTCTAACTGAATCTGGACCATAATAACTGGTTTTTGATATTATGCTTCTAGTGCCATTGAGGTACGATGGCTCACAAACAAACCTGTGTCCTCTTGTTAGTTATCTACAATAGTTATCTACAACAGATGCAAATCGGAATTTCAATAACATAATTCAAAGATATTACTTTGTCTGCTTGCTCTTGGGGTCCATGTGGGATTAAAAAAAACCCCCAAAAACATGGATGGGAGATAGGAAAGAGAAGGGTTCTCATTAGCAGAATGTGAAATAGTCTCAAAATATTGCTGGCCAGGTAGACTAGCTAGCCTTAAAAGTTACCAACCAGTTTAAAATTTCACTATCTTCATGTATATGTGACAATTAATTTTTTCAATTTTTTTATTCTACTAAGGTATCAATAAAGTAAACCAAGATTGCAAGTCATGAGTCAAATATTATAAAGGGGGCAACTCTGATCAGGCAACTTTGATTTGTTACAGATAGTATTTATATATTTTTATTTGCGATAGTCATATTGATCTTCAGAAATGGAAGACCTTTTATTACTTTGATCTATAAAGAGGAGTGCAAAAATAAATCACCATTCAAATTTTGCACACTGCTCATTGCTCATGAGGCACTTATCCCCACCCAGCCCTCAGATTCAACAATGCATGCTTGTATCTAGTCCTGCACCATGACCGTGGAATATATTTATTTTATTAAAAATAATAATATAGAAATGCATACAAAAGCAAGTCTAGCAGGCTACGGCTAGCTCTATTCCACTCTGAAATCAGCATAGGGAATTTTTTTTATATATTTAGAGTCAAGAAGGATATTGTGTAATATAAGATTTCAGAGACTAAATGTTTATCTAGCTTGTATCATGTATGTATCTCTTGGTAATACCATAGTGACTTTCCAGTGTTCAAACTAAGCATGAATGATAGGGGGTCCTTGTCACAGCTGTTGTTAAAAACTAGGGGGCACAGGTGGCCCAGTCATCTAAGAGTTGCGTCCCTTGGGCACGCCAGAAACCTATGATTGTTGGTTCGAATCCTGGTTCGCCCTGATTATGTTTCTAGGTTTGTCAGCACCATACCCGTGCTCGTAGGTTTCACTAAAGTGGTAAACGTCTGAGACCTGCATCACTTCGGGCTTTACCCCCACATTAAGCTGACACGCCGCGATATCACTGTAATACTGTTAAAAGCGGCGTTAAACCCAACTCACTCACTGTTAAAAACGAGAGATTTAGGGGTCCAAAGATTAGGCGCAAACCTAAAGGACTTCCGGAACCACATAATTCCGAACACTGCTATCACTGAGATCACTCAGGCCTGGCAACAGTCAGCTCCTGTTTGTGCCCCAAACCAGAACGATGTCACTTGGTGATTGATGCTTTGCCAAGGCAGTACCAGAGCTTGGAACAACATTCCCGTCAACATCAAAAGTGCCAAGGATATTAACCAAGTTAACATGGTTAAGGGACTGTTAAAAACCTATTTGTTCCAATCCGCCTACAACGCTCACTGAACTCTCTGTTTGACCACCAGACTCATGCAAAAGTGCCTTTGCGATGTTCCAAGCTGGAAATTGGCGTTATATTATTATTATTATTATTATTATGGGAATATAAGTCTGCAGCAAATGACTAATATTATGGCTATATAGAGGTAACTTGTATATCACTGACAACAGTGCCAATAAAGTGGAAGAGTGAGTGAGTGAGTGAGTATGGTTTTAAGCCGATTTTAGCAATTTTCCAGCAATATCACGGCGGGGGACACCAGAAATGGGCTTCACACATTGTACCCATGTCGGGAATTTAACCACTAGGCTACCCGACCGCCCCTAAAGTGGAAGAGACATTAATGTACTGTTCTACGTTATCACAACTGATCATTGCACTGAATGCAATATTAAAACACCTCCGAATTTAGGAAAATAAAAACTAAGAAAATCCTAATTTTTAACAAAATTAATATTTTTTCCAATTTGACTGCCATGGACAGTTAGTTTAGAATCCTAGATAAATCCCTGGGTTGTCAACAAGGAAATGTCAAAGGTCCTTCCTCAATTTAACCAGCCTCAGCTTTGTAGACTTTCGGAGCCTGTTTTGTCAGTTGTAATCTCATGTATCAGGAGGAATGTTATTTTTACAGGGTTAGAAATTGGCACTATTCCTGTAGTCCTTGCCAAGCTGCCCAATGGTAAAGGTATCATAACGACTAGCAGAAAATTGCCCTTTTTTAGGGTTTTGCTACATGTTATGATTATAAGGACTACTGGACAAAAACTGTTAGTTTTTGTCGCTGATGTATCGCTGCTGCTCCAACGGACTGCTAGTTGAAACCCAATCATCATGATCATACAAATGACTTGTATTCGTTGTCAAAATGCTTAACGTGTGAAAAATGAAATACAAACACTGGCAACTTAATCAAATCAACACTTGTAAATAATTTCCAAATCAACAAAAATATCAGCACAAATAATCTTAAATATTGTTCACATCTCTACACATGTTAAAGCCTGATCAATACATTGGCTTAGTTTATGGTTCAAAATGAAGTGCAAACATAGCAAATGCAGCCCCAACAAGAGATCCACATGTCGTTTCATTTAATGGACGATCAGATTATTATACTCGATCAGGGCAATATTCTGAATATGTCCTTTGTCCTGCTAGTCCTGAACCATGTATTATTTGAACTCTTTGACTGGCATCTTTAGAAGTTAGTAAGTAACAGTAAGGACAAGATTATTATGGGTGACAACTTCTTTATTCTATTATAATTATGATGTGACTTTTTGGTGTAGATCCTTATACCCTTGATTGAGAACGGCATAAGGATCTATACGGAAACGTAGCATCATAATCATCATAATAACAAAGAAGTTGTCATCCGTAAAAAATATTTATTCCACAAATAGTTTTCTTTTTGTCTTCTATCATATTCAAAGTCAATATTTCATTGTCTCTATTGTTACTTCGACATTGCTTTCATCTAAATCAGCAGGGAGTCAAAATGCACTCCCATTTCATCAATAAATATGTTCAACAGAGTTCAAAGGTCTCCATGTTGCACACCTGGTGCAAACCCATACTATGCTACTCAACTGTTGATAAGAATACCTAAACACTTCACTACATAATGCAACAAGAGCATCAATGTATGAAATATCTAGTATAAATAAAAATGAGGTCTAGAAATAGAAATCAAGATAAAAAATCTATTGAACTCCCAAAAATAAGTAAAAGTTTGGTGAGGTGAAATGGGGGATTAATGTTGCGTCCAAGATTATTGCACTTAAATAGCAACATACATCACGCACATAGACGCACGTGTGTGTGCGCATTTGTGTGTGCATGTGTGCATGTGTGCAGTATACTGTATCCGAGCCGACCAGTCCTTGTTTTAGCCCCTTAATGCCCAGAACCAGGCAGAGTAAGTACCATCTCTTAACATCTTTTGGTGTGACACAGCCTGGGATCGAGCCCCGGACCTTCCGCTCTCCGGGCGGAAGCTCTATCACTAGACCACGGAGGTGGTCTCAGCTATATGGTCTGTAAAATAATCGAGTTTGGGACAGACAATCTAGTAACTGAAATTATGAGCATCGATCTACAAAATGGGATATGATGACATGCATCAACCAAGTCAGCGAGCTTGACCACCCGATCCTGTTAGTTGCCTCTTGTGACAAACATGACTTGCTGAAGACCTATTCTAACCAGGGCCTGCATTAGATAAAGAACAAGAATTTAGGTGAGGTGAGGTGAAATGGGGTTTAACGTCGCGTCCAAGATTATTGCACTTATATAGCGACGTGCATGCACATGTGTGTGTGGCTGCTTGTACTAGTCCGGACTGATTCCGATTTATAATGCTAGCACACTGAGATACCATGCGGCAGTTTACCATGAATACCCCACTCAGACACAGTATACTGACTCCGAGCCGACCAGTCCTTGTGTTAGCCCCTTAATGCCGAGTGCCAGACAGGGTAACAACAAGTACCATCTTTTAACGTCTTTTGGTATGACGCGGCTGGGGATCGAACCCCGGACCTTCCGCTCTCTGGGTGGACACTCTACCACTAGACCCTGGAGGCGGTGGCCGAGAGTTTAGAATATCCTTATAAAACATTGAGTAGTTTAGTATTTGACATGACTGCAACCAGTGAAAAACATCAATAAGTTAAAAGATCAATTATTAAGCTAGGGAACACATGGCACAATTTCAACATCAGTAATGGTCACATCTGTTACAAGAAGATTGCCACATCTTGTAAAAGAATAAAATCAATGCAACAATCAATAACCTCACTTGTCTTGTCTAAATACACATATCACTTTTTACTGTCATTGTGACAAATTGTACAAATAATCAGTTAACGAGTTTCAAAGAGATGCCAGATAGTGGAATACAAAAAATACAACAGAGATAGAACAGTTTTAGCCCACTAGTCCTTGTGATGATCATATAGCAAAACCCTTAAAAAGGGCAAATTTCTACTAGTCCTTGGGATACCTTAACTATAAGGCAGTTTGGCAAGGACCACAGGAC